TGCTGTACACACACCTGCCAGCTGCCCAGCTGCCCAATGACAAAAATTACTTTACTTCGAGTTATCCCCACCATGACATTTATACGTTTTGTTACTGGCAAATCTTCTAGCATTCTATCTGACATATCTTCTGGCATTTATATCTGGCATATCTTCTGGCAATATGTTCTGGCATATCTTCTGGCAATATCTTCTGGCATTCTATCTGGCATATCTGGCATATCTTCTGGCATTCTATCTGGCATATCTTCTGGCATATCTTCTGACATTCTATCTGGCAAATCTTCTGGCATTCTATCTGGCAAACATTCTGGCACTTTACTTGGCATACTTTCTGGCATTCTATCTGACATTCTATCTGGCATACCTTCTAGCATTCTGTCTGGCATATCTTCTGGCATTTTATCTGGCATATCTTCTGGCATTCTATCTGGCATTTTACCTGACACTCTATCTGTCATATCTTCTGGCATATCTTCTGGCAGTCTATCTGGCATATCTTCTGGCATATCTTCTGACATTCTATCTGGCATTCTATCTGGCAAATCTTCTGGCTTCTATCTGGCAAACATTCTGGCAAATCTTTATCTGGCATACCTTCTGGCATTTATCTGACATTCTATCTGGCATACCTTCTGGCAGTCTATCTGGCATATCTTCTGGCATTCTATCTGGCATATTTTCTGGCATTTTATCTGGCATATCTTCTGGCTTCTATCTGACATGCTATCTGGCGTTCTATCTGGCATATCTTCTGGCATTCTATCTGGCCGTTGAGGCCCAGCGGTGCCCACTGAGCTCGGAAGGTCGCAGTTTGAGGTCCAGCGGTGCCCACTGAGCTCTGAAGGTCCCAGGTTGAGGTCCAGCGGTGCCCACTGGTCCGGAAGCCGGCAGTTGAGGTCCAGCGGTGCCCACTGCGCTCACTCAGATCGGAAGCCAGCAGTTGAGGTCCAGCAGGCCCACTGCGCGCAGAAGTTGGCGAAGAGATTGGCAAAGAGTTGGCAAGGCGGAAGTGGACATGGAAGTGGATGCAGAGGTGGTGGAGGAGAAACTGGAGGACGAGGAGGAGGAAGAGGAGGAGGAGGCGGAGGAGGAGGAGGAGAAGGAGGCGGAAAAGGAGGAGGAGGAGGAGGCGAACAGCTCTGATAAAATCTAACAACCCTCACCTGGCAGGTGGGAAAAAACATTTCAGCGCACGATGACCAACCTTGCCAGGGTTTTTGACACACTTCTCAAAGTTCTCATCGGAAACAGCAGCAAAGCCCAAAGACACCATTGCCATGGCCCTCAAAAGCACGATGAAAGGAGCCGTGAATCCTTGATTGGAAATGCTATGGGCTTACTCAAACATCTTTGCACACGCCCCTGCCCAGTGGAGCAACAAAAAACTCTTCTAGGTCATGCAAGTCACTGCTTGCAGTAGAAACCAATAATTTCGCCCTGCGAGAACCAATGGCCAAACATCTTGCCTCTGCTACCTGGTCATCTAGCAAAAAAATGCCCCAAAATGTCTGTAGGTGCAAACCTGCGGCTTGTATCTGAACAACCCTGTAGGACATGCATACGCCGTGTTCATCCTAAAGATATGCTCATACATTGCTACAGTGTTCTCATACTTGTGTAAAAAACATTGATGAAATAAGAACATCCATAAAATATAAACAATACATAAATTCAGAAACATGAATAAAGAAGGAAAGGGAGAAAACAAAAAGGGACTAGACAGATGCCCCTGCAAACAAACCCGAGACAGGTTGTATATCCAACCAAGAGGCAAATACAGGGATCATGGAAAATGCCTAGGCGCAACCGCTTGTGTGTGCCTAAAATGTTTTGACCCTAAACAAACAATTGCCACTGTAAGTGCCCACTGGTATTGAATCCCAAGGACAAGTAAAGGGGCCTACCCAAACCCATCTGACCCATCCGAGTACTTCTTCACCTTGTGCTACATCCAATTCTTCAAAGACCGTTTTGTCTGAATACCGATACTTCCCTCAGAAGGTCGACCACAGCTAGCCCCTTGAATCCAGTAGCTGGAAAAAGAAAGGGTGCGAAATATCGCCCTGCAGGATTCCACAAACCCCCGCTACAATACACAACCGGCAGTCCTTGGCAGCAGTCCGTGCATCACATGCATTCTTATATTAAATAAATAAATAAATAGATAAATAAATATATATATATAAAAATTACAATATATGATAGATACTTTTTATTTACATTATATATGAAATACATATATATATATATCACAAATATTATGTATAATATATATATATATTAATAACTATTATATATATTTTAAATATTATATATGTATATTGAATATGTTATATATTAAATATCATATATATTAACTAAATAACATTAAATATAATAATGTAAATAATTTATTTTTATATGTAACATATATAATATATATTAAAAATGTTTTGTATATGATCTACATTATATTTATTATATATTATATATTATCTTACGGTTTATTTGGACGACAGACATATACATATATGGTAACAGTCGCAATGTGCACTCTTGGTGCAGGATTGTTCCTGAAAGGTGACCAGGCGAAAATTGTAAAGACCAATGCCCTGGCCCATGGCAGCTAGCAGGGTCCCAGGGCATTTCTGGCCAAGATATGGTGTGCCGCGCGCCAAAACGTGGACTGGAGGGAACATGTTTGATTGATTTGAATGCGGGTATTTCTTTGATCTTTTCAGTTCAAATGGGCGAGCTAAAGAACCCCAGAAGACACGAGACCAGAGGCTAGTTGCTGTACTGTATTTATAGAAATATATCATAATACATATATATATATTATATACTTATAATGTATATAATTATACATACTATACTTATATATATATAATACTTAGAATATATATATATGTATATATATATGTATATATTATGTAGCATATGTGTTTTTATATTTATATATTTTTATAGACATATTTATATATATATATATTATACAATATACGGAAATACTTGTGCATATATACAAATATATATATATATTTATTTGTCATTTATTTATATACTGTGTGGCTGGTTGTGGAAGAATGATGAAACAAGAAATCAGAGCAGCTGCAGTGGTCAGCAGTTGACCCGACCACAAGGGCAAGAGGATTTATACCTTTGGACTGACGAAACATGAGTATTCAATATGATTGAAGCAGCAACTATGATCTAGGCAGGAAGAATAGCGATTGGGCACAGTGATTTTCCTGGGAGATGTACCCAGAGAACGTATCAGTGCTAAAACGTGGTTGAGATGTTGGTAAAGTTAGATTAGGGCAATCCCATCTTTTTGTGGGATAGCCCCCTAACCTAACAATACAACAAAAAACAACAAAGACAACAAACACAATAAAATCAACAAATAAAATCAAAACAACCTACCAGAAACAAAATACAAAAACAAAGCAACAAAACAAATAAACATAAATCAAAACAACCTGCTATCAATACAATCAACAACAATCATCATAACAATAAACAGCGAAACAAACAAACTCAACAAACCTAAACAATACAATAGACCATAAAGCAATCCTTACCATAAACTGTAACAACAGACTAAATACTTTACCTTGTTCAAAAGCCCATTGTAAAGCCCATACCTATGAGATGGAACTTCTATAAAGCCACACCTCGGCAATGGTAAAGCCAATACATAAAAATAATTGAAACTAACTAACTCCAAACAGCAAAGGCAACGGGTGATTGCTCAAAAAGTAGCGGGTGATTGCTCAAAAAGTAATGGAACATATCCAGCCCAGATACTGGAAATATCCAGCCCAGATAATGGGAATATCCAGCCCAAGTAGGAACCCCCTATCCTACCTTGTGAGCCCAAGTAGGAACCCCCAATCCTACGTTACGATGTCATCGCTGGAACAATGGAAGGGCTGGAAAAGATGAGTGCAAAACCAAAAATCATATACACATGATGATGAAGGTAGTATAAGTGGTTCTGACTTCAAGCAACTAGTAGAATATGTATAGAACTAGAGGTCATCCAGCCTTCGATGAAAGATTTATTAGGACATTTAAAATTTAAATATATTTTTTGTAAAGGGTTGAGAATGATGAGAAGAAAGGAACACATAATATTCAATGGATTACATAACTGAGATTTTACTAACATACAACAACAAGGACGTCCATAGTGCTACTGGACTAACTCCAAATGAAGCAAGGAAAGAAAGGAATGAGTTTAAACCAAAACGCAATGTTTCCGTAAAAGCAAAGAAGGAAAGAATATACCCTTCTTTAGAAGTAGAAGACCGAGTATGAGTAAAGATAATGAGAAAGAACACAATTACAGAGAAAGAAAGAACTTCCCACTGGCTGAAAGGTTATTATGTTGTGCAAGAGATTGCAGAAAAGTTGAACCGAACATATTACAAATTGACTGATTACCCAAGATTGTTAATGAGGCATGAACTTTTTAAAGCTTATTGTTTTGAGAAAGCCTTGCAAGCATATTTGTTCTTACTTACGCATACTTGATACAACCATGAGATGGTTGCTTTGATGTGCTCTTTTGGTTTCGGGGTTTTGTGTTTTGCCCGTCATTTGTTTTCCCCATGAATTTGTGTTTTGCACGTTTGGGTCATTGGCTGGGATTGCTCCATGTTCCTTTGCCCTTCTGCCCCGCCATGGTTTCGTCATCAATCTCTTCATCCTGTTGTCGGGGCGCTCAGCTTTTGGGAATATGCCAGTCGGAGGTTTGAAGCTGTGAATTTGCCACATGTTCTTGGATAGCTTGAACTTGAAAGTTGCTTCAACCTGGGAATCTACGACGTTCTCAGTTGGAAAGCTACAGAAGTAGCTCGTTCAGTTTGAGCTTGGAAGTTTGTGTCATTTTGCAGCATCTTTACTTTCTTCCGTAGCTACCTCTTGGCTGGAAAAGCTTTTTCGCTGGTGTAGGCTCTTTAGAAGTTGCAATGGGTCTCAAGTCTCTTTTGTTCCCTTGCGTCGTCCTTGCAATGAGCATGAGAGTTGCAAGCAACAGCATTACAGGCAGCTTGCAAAACATGAGCGGGAGCGAGGTCAATGAAGACCACCGCCTACTTCAGCATCCGAAGTTTAAGAAGTGCACCAAGGCCTGCGACAAGAAAGATTTGGACTGCGTTAAACATACCAACTCGGTCGACAGGTTGGAGACTTGTAGCGAGGACTATCGTATGTGCTATGCTTGTTGCAGAGTAGGGAATTACACCCACACCGATTGCTGCGCCAACCCCGATCTCATCCACTGCAAGAAAGCCTGAGGAGCAACTTCAGCCGTGGAGACGATTTACCCGACACCTGCGCCGACAATGCGAGTGCAAAAGAAGTGCTCCGACAGTAGGAAGAGAGGTTGGCAATTTTTGTTTCTTGTTCACCATGTGTGAAGGTATACCCATTGATCATCTAAAATTGCAATGCAAATGCCCCTCTAGTAGCTGAGCACGGAGATTTAAAACACCTGACTGGATTTTCACGTTTGAAGCAAAATCCAGAGTGAGGAGTGATTGTAGGCCAACTCGATCATTTTCCAAACTCTTTTCAATTTGGGAATGTGCCCCCTGATTGTCCACTCATTCGCCCGGCCAGAGGTCGTTGGCCCAAATGGGAGGATGCCACCTTTGACTTTGTGATCGATGATCCAAACTTGCAGGTTGGGAACTGGTCTGCACCTATAGGCTTGGGTCATACTTCTGTAAGGTTGATCATGTCATAAATATGTAATCCATTTAGGACTATGTTGGTCATGAAATAGCTATGTATAAGAGTACAAGACACGCACACAGATGGCCTTCGTCTTCAAAGATCGTACGTATTAGCCATGTGAGTTGAGTTGCTTGGATGAGGCCCATGGAAATCATTTTGGGTAGACATCCCGACTCGAACTGCACATTTTTTTTGGCACTTAAATTATCTTAAATTTAGCTGAAAAAATCAGATGCATCTGAATCTGGTCCAATTTTTGCTTCGTCTAAGTCCAATTGTTGGCTGACATACCCTTCGGTTTCCACAGCCTCGTCCATGTGAAACTCCATTTGTCGTGCTGGCAGAATTTGCATTTGGGTGTGCACGACAACGACACGGGCGCCTTTAGTTGGAAGAAGCTACTTGGAGCAGACATCAGATGACCCATAGTTCTGCTGGGTGGAAAAGCCAGCAAAACTTGACCTTTTAAGGCTTGAAAAAGATCACATACCCCTGGCTGAGTGGTATCCGAAGATTTCCCTATAATCTACTTGTGGTATCTTGTAGTCACCTTATCATCTCCCTGAATCTATCTGCCCGAGGGCCGAAATCATGCGCTGCTCGGAGAAGAAGCTGACAGCCCTGCTGGAGGGACAAAACCTGATTGAGGCGCTCGGTTACTGGGATGGGGGGTTCTGGATTGACCCATTCCCATATGCAACCCATGGTGCTGGAATATGCACACCAACATTTGCCCTAAAAATCACCCAGTTTTGTAGGTAAATATACCATACATGGAGCATATGGGATTGATATCCATTGATCACTTACAACTTACAACTGAGTACTTCATTCTTTTCCTATGGAGGTGTACTAGCCAACGAGAAAAATAAGGCATGGTATCTAAGATTGGCCATTGTTTAAGCAACAAACATGGGGGGATGAGAGTAGCAAAAGTATGTTTTTTTTCCCCGGAACAAAAGCGTTGGACTACCATGAGGATCCAGCAAAACTGAGGATCGCAACCAGGATCTGGATGGCCATCGTCTTTTCTTAAGGAAACATAGCTGGTACATCCCTAAGATTTTGGTGTCAAGCCATGTGGTATTGCCAGACGCTTTCGAACGGCAGGATTTCACCATAGATTTCACCATACAAGCCGCAATATTGGTATCTATGTATCAACAGTAGATCAAAACAGCAGTATATATATATATATATAGATCCTGGGAAAGTGAGGCTCATGGGATAGACTCCATTTCCAGCATCCAGGCGTTGCCGGAGATCTGGCTCCCGCTACACAGCGGCCTGGGGAATTTGGTGCCCTCGGGGTCGGTGAAGGTCCGAGCCGAGTGGCGGCCTTTGGGACGGGGACCCCAGCGACGGGTACATACCAATAGGTGATTTAATGGTAAATTTAATGATGATTTAATGGTGATTTAATGTTGATTTAATGGTGATTTAATGGTGATTTAATAGTGAATTTAATGGTGATTTAATGGTAATTTAATGGTGAATTTAATGGTGATTTAATGGTGATTTCATGGTGATTTAATGGTGAATTTAATGGTGATTTAATGGTGATTTAATGGTGATTTAATTGTGATTTAATGGTGATTTATTGGTGATTTAATGGTGATGTAATGGTGATTTAATGGTGAATTCAATGGTGAATTTAATGGTGATTTAATGGTGATTTAATGGTGAATTTAATGGTGAATTTAATGGTGATTTAATGGTGATTTAATGGTGATTTAATGGTGATTTAATGGTGATTTAATGGTGATTTAATGGTGATTTAATGGTGATTTAATGGTGATTTATTGGTGATTTAATGGTGATTTAATGGTGATTTAATTGTGATTTAATGGTGATTTATTGGTGATTTAATGGTGATGTAATGGTGATTTAATTGTAATTTAATGGTGATTTATTGGTGATTTAATGGTGATTTCATGGTGATTTAATGGTGATTGATTGGTGATTGAATGGTGATTGAATGGTGATTTAATGGTGATTTAATGGTGATTTAATGGTGATTTAATGGTGATTTAATGGTGACTCCATTGGCTTTCTTATTGGGTTTCCCAGGTCGCACATGATTCCATTCTAGTTCGGGAAAATCCATGAGAATCCCCCCAAAATATGGAAAAATCATAGCAACATATGGGATTTCCATTGGATTTCTGCAGGACGGCGAGATGTCGCTGGAGACGAGCCGCTGCGGCTCCACCGACAGCGCGGACTACCACGACGCGCTCGACGCGCTCGACGCGACGCCCGCGGCGCCCGCGGGCGCTGGACGTGGCTTCGGTGGCCTCGGCGCGCGGCTGGGGCAATTGGTTTCGCGATGAAAAGGAACGACAGCGATTGGGTTCAGTATATTTGCTGTACATGGCTGTACTGTATTTATAGAAATATATCATAATACATATATATATATATTATACTTATAATGTGTATATATATATACTATAATTATATATATATAATACTTAGAATATATATATATAAATTATTATGTAGCATATTTGTTCTTATATATTTTTTTTTTATAGACATATTTTATAGATATACATATATATATAATACAATATACGGAAATACTTGTGCATATATATATATATATATTTATTTATTTGTCATTTATTTATATACTGTGTGGCTGGTTGTGGAAGGAAGAATGATGAAACAAGAAATCAGGGCAGCTGCAGTGGTCAGCAGTTGACCCGACCCCAAGGGTAAGAGGATTTATACCTTTGGACTGATGAAACATGAGTATTCAATATGATTGAAGCAGCAACTATGATCTAGGCAGGAAGAATAGCGATTGCGCACAGTGATTTTCCTGGGAGATGTACCCAGAGAACGTATCAGTGGTGAAACGTGGTTGAGATGTTGATAAAGTTAGATTAGGGCAATCCCATCTTTTTGTGGGATAGCCCCCTAACCGAACAATACAACAAAAAACAACAAAGACAACAAACACAATAAAATCAACAAATAAAATCAAAACAACGTACTAGAAACAAAATACAAAAACAAAGCAACAAAACAAATAAACATAAATTAAAACAACCTGCTATCAATACAACCAACAACAATCATCATAACAACAAACAACGAAACAAACAAACTCAACAAACCTAAACAATACAATAGACCATAAAGCAATCCTTACCATAAACTTTAACAACTGACTAAATACTTTACCTGGTTCAAAAACCCATTGTAAAGCCCATACCTATGAGATGGAACTTCAAGATAAATTCTTTCAGAATTTATCTATAAAGCCACACCTCGGCAATGGTAAAGCCAATACATAAAAATAATTGAAACTAACTAACTCCAAACAGCAAAGGCAACGGGTGATTGCTCAAAAAGTAGTGGGTGATTGCTCAAAAAGTAATGGAACATATCCAGCCCAGATACTGGAAATATCCAGCCCAGATAATGGGAATATCCAGCCCAAGTAGGAACCCCCTATCCTACCTTGTGAGGCCAAGTAGGAACCCCCAATCCTACGTTACGATGTCATCGCTGGAACAATGGAAGGGCTGGAAAAGATGAGTGCAAAACCAAAAATCATATACACATGATGATGAAGGTAGTATAAGTGGTTCTGACTTCAAGCAACTAGTAGAATATGTATAGAACTAGAGGTCATCCAGCCTTCGATGAAAGATTTATTAGGACATTTAAAATTTAAATATATTTTTTGTAAAGGGTTGAGAATGATGAGAAGAAAGGAACACATAATATTCAATGGATTACATAACTGAGATTTTACTAACATACAACAACAAGGACGTCCATAGTGCTTCTGGACTAACTCCAAATGAAGCAAGGAAAGAAAGGAATGAGTTTAAACCAAAACGCAATGTTTCCGTAAAAGCGAAGAAGGAAAGAATATACCCTTCTTTAGAAGTAGAAGACCGAGTAAAGATAATGAGAAAGAAAACAATTACAGAGAAAGAAAGAACTTCCCACTGGCTGAAGGTTATTATGTTGTGCAAGAGATTGCAGAAAAGTTGAACCGAACATATTACAAATTGACTGATTACCCAAGATTGTTAATGAGGCATGAACTTTTAAAGGTTATTGTTTTGAGAAAGCCTTGCAAGCATATTTGTTCTTACTTACGCATACTTGATGCAACCATGAGATGGTTGCTTTGATGTGCTCTTTTGGTTTCGGGGTTTTGTGTTTTGCCCGTCATTTGTTTTCCCCATGAATTTGTGTTTTGCACGTTTGGGTCATTGGCTGGGATTGCTCCATGTTCCTTTGCCCTTCTGCCCCGCCATGGTTTCGTCATCAATCTCTTCATCCTGTTGTCGGGGCGCTCAGCTTTTGGGAATATGCCAGTCGGAGGTTTGAAGCTGTGAATTTGCCACCTGTTCTTGGAGAGCTTGAACTTGAAAGTTGCTTCAACCTGGGAATCTATGACGTTCTCAGTTGGAAAGCTACAGAAGTAGCTCGTTCAGTTTGAGCTTGGAAGTTTGTGTCATTTTGCAACATCTTTACTTTCTTCCGTAGCTGCCTCTTGGCTGGAAAAGCTTTTTCGCTGGTGTAGGCTCTTTAGAAGTTGCAATGGGTCTCAAGTCTCTTTTGTTCCCTTGCCTCGTCCTTGCAATGAGCATGAGAGTTGCAAGCAACAGCATTACAGGCAGCTTGCAAAACATGAGCGGGAGCGAGGTCAAGGAAGACCACCGCCTACTTCGGCATCCGAAGTTTAAGAAGTGCACCGAGGCCTGCGACAAGAAAGATCGGGACTGCGTTAAACATACCACCTCGGTCGACAGGTTCGAGACTTGTGGCAAGGACCAAGATACGTGCTATACTTCTGCATAATTTAGAGCGAGGGCTGACGAGGTACGAGGTGAATCTTTGCAATTTAAGCGAGGTGAATTAATTAAATTCAGAAAACGAGGTGGGCAGAAATTGCTTTCAAAGCATGTCTAACGAGTGAAAAAAAACTTTTCGGGCTCCAGAAAGTTTTTTTTGTTCCCATCAGAGTGAAAAAAATAGAAAATTAAGGGTGCATTCAGACCCCGTGAAAAAAAAACTTTCTGGAGCCCGAAAAGTTTTTTTATCGTAATTTCAGTCAGTGCCCTGTGGTGGCATGCCCGGTTGTTCCAGGACTTCCGTATTTGTTCTACAGTGAAACCACTGTTTAAGAACCCACTGCATTAAGAACCTCAGGGGCTGGATTGCTGGATTCAACTCTGTCAACCAGCTAATTGAAATAAGAACCCTAGGGAACCCTGAAATTTTGGTCAATAGTTCTTATTCACCTTTCCCAGGTAGCGCGACTGGATTCTAAAATTGCTAAAGCTTGAGGTGTAGCAGGGTATCTTGGTGCTGCTGCTGCAGCTTCTCTTCTCTGGGGTCGAATTTGGGGGGAATCGAGCCCCTGCAAATCCGCTTGTAAAAGAGGCATCTCGGAAACAGGAAAAAACTTTTCAGCATCCCCAAGCCTCTGGAGCCCAGAGCGTTGCTGCAACGACGACAAAGATAATTCAAAAAAGTTCAACCCAAAAGGAGGCAGAGGACTAGTTCGAATGGCTTGCGGTCGAGAAAGAAATGGGACGAGGGCTGAAATCCGTTTTGAATGTAACGAGGCGAGGACTGAAGATTTAATCAGAGGGGAAAAGTAGATTTAAGACGAGGAAACCGTTTTGAATTTAAAGTAAATTTTGCAGATACTTGTTGCAGTGTAGGGCATTACACCCACGCCGATTGCTGCGCCAACTTCGATCTCATCAACTGCACGAAAGCCTGAGGAGCAACTTCAGCCGTAGAGACGATTTACCCGACACCTGCGCCGACAGTGCGAGTGCAAAAGAAGTGCTCTGACAGTAGGAATAGGACATTGCTTCCATAGAGCATTTATATGCATTTATGCCTGATAAAAGATTGCTGTGCCATTCACATCGCGCTGAGGTTAAGAAGACATGGTCATCAACAAGTTCATGAAGGGCGGTAGTTTGGGCGTGGCAATTGCGGTATTGAAAGAGATTTGAGACTGAGAAAGATGCGGTGATATTGTGAAATCTTGCGATGAATACATGTTCACTATTGTTTAAATGATTTCATGATGATTATGATGCTATGTAGGTGGTGGGACATGAGTAAAATGAACTCGGGTTTTTGCCTTTGATGTATTGTTTTGTGATGTTTTGTATGGTGGCGGGGTGCTTTTGCTAGAAATTATGTCGAGGATTTGTACGTGCTTCTGTGCTGATTTATGTGCTGGTGTATGCTGTAATGATTTGTATGCTGGTGTATGCATATATAGTTTTATGTCATAGTATGCTGTAATGATTTGTATGCTAGTTTGTTTGGTTGCTGGGGTGCTGATTTTTGTTGCATGCTTTTGTTTTGCTTTGCTGTGCTGGTTGGCATGTTAGTTTGTATGCTGGGGGTTGGGATAGTATATCGGGGGCTGAGGCTTCCCCTATAGGGGGAGAATGTGGTCATTAATCTCAGAATCTTCATAATGAATCAGTATGAAAATTATGTAGGTTATCCCCATAAATTTGATAGAATAATTCTATTAAATTTATGTGGCAATTATTTTCCAGGAATATTTCTAGCAATTATGATTTCTAGAAATAACACCTGTGAAATAGATAAGGGAAGATGATGTATATTTTGTATATGTTTTGATGTTTTTTTCACGGATGAGATGGATGAGATGGGTTGATATTGTGAGGTTGTTATGGTTTATGTTGTTGGTTTTATTAATAGTATGTTGTTATGATCTTGTTATTGTTGTTTTGTTGCTTTGTTTTTGTTTGTAGTAGGTTGTTTTTGATTTTATTTTGTTTGTTGTCTTTGTTGTTTTTTGTTGTACTGTTAGGGGGGGCTATCCCACAAAAAGATGGGACTGCCCTAATCTAACTGATAAAAGTGGTGAAATGTGGCTAGGACGTGCGTTTTCCATTCCCGCCATCCCCGAGTGATTCAGCTTTGCTTTCTCGGAGACTTTCCTTCTCAACGGCTGGCAAGTCGCAGGTTATCAAAAAGACCTGGATGCAGGAAAGCACTATTGGACTATTGGACGGTGGCATTCCCTTCAAAGATATAGATGGCAAAATAGGCACTTCACTCTGCATCAGTTACAAACTACCCAAACCATAGCAACTATAGCACCGAAAGCAAACATATTCTTACCTTGTGATGCTGAAAATGTTAATGCCTCTCGAGGTTTTTGCGCCGTCGAGCGTGGGATCGACCTGTAACTCTTGGTGACTTAGTCCATCTCAATCTGGTTGTTGTTGACGAAGTTTTAGAAATGTACTATCTCAGTGTTACTCTTAACGTCAGTTAAGTATGACACTTAATATCACTTGTGTACGATCTATGAGAACAGTCAACCATGTCACTTAATGTCAGTTCTATACCATCTAAAAGATACTTGTTACAGCTAACGATGTCAGTGTCAGTTACATACCATCTACACTTATCATATGATGATCCCATGATCACAACGCATCACAACGCGTCGCGTTGTGATTCTCTCAGCGCTTCACCGTCTGCGCGCTGCGCTTCTCGTGGCGAAGCACCATGGATGCAGGAGAGAAATTTCGAGGCTTGCTGCGATCCTTGGAGGCGCCCCGGCGGGCCCCTGGAGGACCATGGCTGCCGCTGGTGATTACTGAGGATCCCCCCAGGCAGAACCCCCCATATCAATAAAATAAAATATAATATAATAGAATACAATATAATATAATATAACATAATTTAATGTAATATAATATAATATAATATATAATATGATATAATATAATATAATATGATATGATATAATATGATATAATTTAATATAATATACTATAATATAATGTAATATAATATAATATAATATGATTTGATATAATATAATATAATATGATATGATATATAATATAATATAATATGATATGATATGATATATAATATAGTAATATATATATATATGTTCATATATGTATATATGTATTTTTACTCACCATTGGATGTTCATTCTTGAAGCGTTAATTGATACTGGGATGATTAATGATAATTGATGGTAATTGTACAGTAGGGCGCGGGATAATCCCTTCAACTACATTGATACAATGAACCGATTGTGATGATGATTATCCACCATAGTGACTAGCGATTTCAAGGAAATTCAAGAACCTTCGAACCTTGAGAGCATCATTACCCTCTGGTTATGTCCAAATAGCTATTGCAATGACAATTTATAGTGGATTTACCCATTAAAAATGGTGATTTTCCATAGTTCTGTTAGTTTACCAGAGGGTATATATTGTTAAGTAAATATTGATAGATTAAAGACATAGTGATAGAATTCTAACACCAGTGATCTTATTAACATATCATGTTCCCGTCCGAACTGATGTTCCTACACTAATCCCTTCCCCCGTTCGCATCCGTTCGCAGCATAACATTCCCCGGAAACCATGATTTGTTGGGGGGATTAACACACCGAATTGAGACCATACAATGGGGGTGTTTCATATTCGGGGAAGGGATTAAGTGGCTAATCAATAATGATCATATATGCAATACACCATTTATCAATATGGAATATCCATGAATATCCCGCATATCCCAAGATGAATGTGTTAAGCATTTATATATCCTTCCTGGGACATCCAGGTATCGGGTGTCCCATATCAGGCGCAGTACGATGAAGACATTCACCTTATCAGAGCCTTGGCAGTTTCGAAGTGGCCAGGAGTGAAAACCCACCCGAACTGGAAGTTTTTGTTGGTAAATCAACGGTAAATCATGGTAAATCCGCAAGATGAGAAAACAGAAAGGCTTGGGGCCCCTGATTTTTGGAGAAATCCATCATGGCTTATCGATGGTTATCGCCCACATTAAAAAGGGACACCGGAGCCTGATGACTCACCCAGGATGTGGACGTCGTGCTTTAAATCGGAAGAGTTGGGGCACCCAGCTGTCGGCGCATCACGTAGTCCGATCGTTTTCCCAGAAACCTCCACCGAGTTTGGGGATTTCCCAGGTTTATAGGGTTTATATATATATATACATACACACACCCTCTGGTAAACTAACAGTTTGCTATTGACCATGGCCATAGACAGTTCGTTGATTTACCCATTCAAAATAGTGATTTTCCGTAGTTATGTTATGTTAGTTTACCAGAGTGTAGAATGGAGATTCCATGGTAGATTAGACCAACTTTTGCTGATAGAAGTCTATTTTATCAACCGTTCTTCTGGTGATCAAAAGTTTATAGATGGTTTTGTTAACATATGTTTATGGAATGGGTAACATTCTGTAGAATCTATTTAAATTCATTTTGATCATCAGCAACAGTACAGCAATAATGGATTAACAATCCAGATAACATATTGATGATATCACTCACTTGCCACGGTTTATGATTGGGTTTGCCACATTAATCAGTTTCTTCCTTATGGAGCATTGAACGTGTTATCAACTATAGGGCGGTGATTATGATGCAGCGCCCGGTGAATGTTCATTATGGAGTGTTTTGGCAAACTTGTTGATTTGATTCTTATTTTTCGTTGGAGTTGATGGAGCAAATTTAAAGATCCATCATCTTGTTCCATATGTAGAGGATCCTTTAATAATTGGAGTTCTTTGGAGTTATGACTTGGTGTTCGTCAAGGATCCTCAATTCCTGACTGCTAGCTAGCTGCTTTGTTAACTTCGACTCTTGTTCACCGGTTGGAGCCCAAGGCAGACGTGATTTTTTGTAGCATTTTGTTGAGACGTACTCCATTTTCCACATATTGGCCGGGGTTAAGATCCACTTTTTGGTGGTGCAGCATATGACTTTTCAAAGGCGTTAGATAATGGTTGTTCCCCTAATTGTTGGTGATGTTGATGGAGGAAATCTTCCAAGAGCCTTGCCTGCTGCAGGTCCAAAGAACTTGGACAAATCACAAGATGAGGAGCCCTGGCAACGCATGGACTTGGCACTTGTTTTAGTTTTTTAAACATATTAAGGAGCATACATATATAGGTCGCCCAGGCCTGTGGTGTGGATCATCCCTCATGTATGGCAAATTGATAGTACGGGTCATGCGTCATGGGGTACTCGTGATACGAGGCGAAAGGGATGCTCTACAACAGACAAAAATCACAAAAACTGAAGTTTCTTTGGGAGTTGACATGTTAATCGAATTGTTAATCAATACAGAACTTTCAACGCCAAAAAGCATTTGAGCAGTACCTCAAATCCCTGTCAAATCATATTGGCTTGTGCCAACTTTGTTGTGAAGCTGATGATACAATCATATTACATCCCAGAAATCGATGATGGCAACAAATTGCAGGAACCTTCAGGAACCCATGTAACAAAAAATGGTGATAAAAGTCATAGAATTGCCGGTTACAGTTACAGTAAGATTTTCCCAACATAAAACCAATCCAGTAAGCATTGCATGATTGATATCCATTGATTATACATGAGTTAAACAAAAAATGATAATATTATTCTCACAACTTCACCTCCTTCAACCATTCACTGCCAGGAGTCAGCGCAGTTAACGCCGTTGGCCTTGCCGCCGATGGCCACACCGGCAACTGCAAGGCTTCCGCAGGAGCTGCCTCGTCAGAGTTCCTTTACAGATCCTCGGCTCCAGCCTCTCTAGCCATTTGGATTCAGAAACACTAGATGTAGTTTGTTAGTCCCAATTGTTTCAGGAATCCCAATTGGAATGTTGGGTGCCCTCGTACGGTGGATCTATTTGCATTCACATTGAAAGATCCCCGGTGTATGCTCAGAATTGTTGGTATATGTGCAACATTGTTGGTTCTATCCGTGTGATTCTTGAGTGTAGACATATTCCTGCGAACTGACATCCAACAAATTGCTGGCTCAAACCTTGTTCTTTTGGGGGGTTCGATGTTCCCTATGAGTCATTGAGTCTAATGACCTGATAAATAGAGTATTTGGGACCTTTAGCTATTGGAGAGTCAATAGCTGAACCTGTTGGATTCATGGATCCCTCCATACTAACATGATCTGATATGCTGCATCTTTGGTATTTACGGTATGTGTGTTATCATGTACGAAAACCCATAGATGTACTTGTCCCATGGGTTGACCCCGTTGAGAAAGAGAGCTGGCCGCTGTGGGAGTGCACTTTTTTCCATGCTCATTACATTAATCCTTATATTAGTCATTATATAAGTCATGAAATGAATCATTATATTTATCATTATATTAATCATTATATTAATCATTACATGAATCATTATATGAATCATTATATTAATCATTAAATGAATCATTAAATGAATCATCATTATATCAATTATTCTGTAATTCATTAAATGAGTCATTTTATTAATCATTATATTAGCCATTAAATTAATCATTATTTTAATCATTATATTAGTCATTAAATTAATAATTATATCAGCCATTACAAAAATCATTATATTAATCATTATGTTAGTCATTTTAAAAGTCATGAAATGAATCATGAAATGAATCATTATATTTATCATTATATTAATTATATTAGTCATTGCATTAGGCATTCTATTAACCATTACATTAATCATTATATGAATAATGATAATAATCATGATATTAATCATTATATTCCTCATTATAATAATCATTAAATTAATCATTAAATTAACCATTATACTAATCTTTATATTAATCATTATATGAATCATGATTTTGATCATGTTATTAATCTTTATACTGATCATTATATTAGTCATTATTTGAATTTTGATATTAATCATTATATTCATCAGTATTTTTAATCATTGTATTAATCATTATACTAATCGTTTTCACATTCATTATATTAGCCATGTTATTTATCATTATATTAGTCATTAAATTAATCATTAAATTGATCATTATATTAATCATTTTATTAATCATTACATTACTCATTATATAGACTCATAAAATTAGTCAGTATTTTACTCATGATAGTAATCATTGTATTCATCATAATATTACTCATTTTGATAATCATTATATAAATATAATCATGATACTATTCATTATAAAAGTCATTAAATGAATCATGAAATGAAACATTATATTTATCATTAAATGAATCATTATATTAATCATTACTTTTATCATTCTATGAATCATGATATTGATCATTATGTTAGTCAATAAATTCATAATTATATCAGCAATTACATAAATCATTAAATTAATCATTATATTAATCATTAAATTAATCATTATAAACGTCATTAAATGAATCATGAAATGAATCATTATATTTATCATTATATCAATCATTATATTAATCATTGTATTAATTATATTAGTCATTGCATTAGGCATTATATAAACCATTATATTAATCATTATATGAATCATGGTAATAATCATGATATTAATCATTTTTTTGATCATCATTAAATTAATCTTTATATTAATCATTATATTAACCATGATATTGATCATTTTATTAATCATTTCATTAACAATTTTTTAATCATTATTTTAGACATTATACTCATGAATAAATAAGTCATTACATTAATCATTATATTAATCATTATATTAGTCATTATATAAGTCATTAAATGAATTTTTGTTTTTCCATGTTTTTTTGCAGTTTGGCCTGGGGGGCGCAGGTGTGCGAATTGTAGAGACGCGCATTTTTTTGAGAGGTACTGTGATGAAAGCATCTTCACATCAAAAACATGCAAAACAACAATGGAAAAAACACAAAAAAAAAAGGTTCAGACCCATGGGCAAGGTCTGGGGAGAGGCCTGGCACGGGACATGGGTCTGAACTTGTTTTTTTGGTTTTTCCATGGTTTTTTGCAGTTTGGCCAAAACCTCGAGAAAACCAAAAAAAACAAAAAAAAACAGACCCATGGGCAAGGTCTGGGCTATCCACACACAAACCAAAAACCAAAAAAACAAAAAACCAAGAAACCAAAAAATTCAAAAAACAAAAAAAACAAAAAACAAGAAAAAAAAAAAAAGAATGCACACCCCAAGGGGAGGGGCTCAGATGCAGAGTGTTGGGTCTTGTCTTTTTTTTTGGTTTGTGTGTGGATAGTCATTGCAGATGTGCCAAGCAGAGATTGCCAGGCACTGTCAGTGGTTGCACTAGAAGCAAGGTCGATACACTACAGTACAGCAATAATGTTTGCTATGACATAGTGCATTCAGCCAATGAACAGCAGAGAGGAATGGAATTCAATCTTGTCCGGTTGCGCCATATGCCGTTGGATCTTTGCACTGGAAATGCCGCAATTTGCGCACTCCCCTGGTGGCCTGTTCTGAGAGCTGGCCGCTGTGGGAGTGCACTTTTTTCCATGCAATCATTACATTAACCATTATACTGACCATTAAATTAGTCATTATATAAGTCATTAAATGAATCATTATATTTAACCGTATATGAATCATTATATGAATCATTATATGAATCATTATATTAATCATTAAATGAATCATTAAATGAATCATCATTATATCAATTATTTTGTAATTCATTATATTATATAGTCATTTTATCAATCATTATATTAATCATTAAACTAATTATTATATTAATCATTATACTAGTCAATAAATTAATAATTATTTCAGCCATTACAAAAATCATTGTATTAATCATTATCTTAATCATTATAAAAATCATGAAATGAATCATGGAATGAATCATTTTATTTATCATTATATTAACCATTATATTAATTATATTAGTCATTGCATTAGGCATTATATTAACCATTATATTAATTATTATATGAATCATGGTAATAATCATGATATTAGTCATTAAATTCTTTATTTTAATAATCATTAAATTAATCATTTTTTTAATAATCGTTAAATTAATCATTTTTTAATAATCATTAAATTAATCATTATATTAATCATCATATAAATCATGATATCGATCATTTTATTAATCATTATATTGATCATTATATTAGTCATTATTTGAATTATGATATAAATAATTATATTCATCAATATTTTCATCATTATATTAATCAGGATATTAATCATTATAACATTCATTATATTAGCCATTTTATTTATCATTATATTAATCATTAAATTAATTATTATATGAATCATTATATTAATCATTTAATAATCATTATATTATTCATTATGTATAAATTTATTAAAATAGTCACTATTTTATTCATGATATCAATCATTGTATTCATCATAATATTAATCATTATATTAATTATTATTTAAATATAATCATGATATTAATTAGTATAAAAATCATTAAATGAATCATGAAATGAATTATTATATTTATCATTAAATGAATCATTATATTAATCATTATATTTATCATTCTATGAATCATGATATAAATCATTATGTTAGTCAATAAATTAATAATTATATCAGCCATTACATAAATCATTATTTTAATCATTATATTAGTCATTATATTAGTCATTATAAATGTCATTAAATGAATCATGAGATGAATTATTATAATTACCATTATATCAATCATTATATTAATCATTATATTAATTATATTAGTCATTGCATTAGGCATTATATTAACCATTATATTAATTATTATATGAATCATGATAATAATCATGATATTAGTCATTAAATTCTTTATTTTAATTCAATTTTGTCCGGTTGCGCCATATGCTGTTGGATCTTTGCACAGGAAATGCCGCAATTTGTGGCAACCCCTGGTGGCCTGTTCTGTTGAGAAACCATTCCCAGATGCTGATGCGGTAGACCTTCGTCTTGAAGACCATAGCACCAGTTCCGGATTCTGTGGGACACGCCTGGACCCGAACATGCCAGAGAGACTGCCAAACAGAATGTCAGAATAGATGCCAGACAGAATGCCAGAAGAGAATGCCAGAGAGACTGCCAGAAAGAATGTCAGACTGTCAGAAATACTTCCAGAGTCAGAAACTATGTCAGAAGGGTGTCAGGGTGGGGATCACTCGAAGAACATATGTTTTTTCCCCATTGAAACGGCACCTCACCAAGGACTTCCAGGAGCCCGCAGAGGCGCAAGCACCGCGGGGCCGGGCGCGGCGCCCAGCGACGGAGGCCGCTGAAGGGAGGGGAAGCCCCCGCAAAGTTGGTATTTTCATTGGAAAACAATGGGAAAATCATTGGATTGGAGGTGTCAATAGGAAATTCATTGAACTAAATGGGCAATTTTCCAGTCCTGTGACTGATTGCCGGGGGTTAACAAGGTTTAACATAGAGGAACCGTGGAAAAAATCGGGATTTGGTTGTTCGTATACTGGGTTTACCCCCGCAACTAACAGCTCGGCCCTGCAAACCGCTATTTGACAAGGTCTACCTTCGTCACGCACCTGCAGGTCCAGTCTTCATAGTCTTTCATTGTTGGTCATGTCAAAATATTCCCCATTGAAGCCTTGATTATAAATCTTTAATAACCAACATGTAACCCATGTCGATTTTGAAATTTACGATGGATATTCCCAACATTCCCATGTCCGCTGTGAGGTGGTCGCATCGGCGATAGCGGATCGCGAAGTGAGCCCTCCACGTGCGCCTCCCAGAGGGTTTCGTTTGTTTCTACCTCCGTGGCAGTCTCCAAAACCATGGTTTTCTTCTTCAAAAATTCAATACATCCCTTGGAGGACAGGATCATTGATTTTCTGATTGATTCGTGACACCACATTAGATCCAAACAAATGGGACGTTTTTTTTTCCCAGGAAGTTATCAGCTGTTCAACTATCTACAATGGATGCAAATGGACCGTTGTTGTTTTTTCTTGACGTGGAAGTTGTCCTGGACTTCGCATATAATATGGGTTTGTTTGAGAATAGGCTACCCCCAAATCCCTTGGTTTGTCATCCATCTTTACACTAAATGATTGTTCCAGCCTGTCGCTGTGCGTTTTTTGCTGTCATGTTGCTCGGAGTGTTTATGAGCGACATTGTGCCTCCGAAATATGCATATATATATAATTATACATATATACACACACGTATATATATATATAATTATATATATACACACATAACACATTATATATATATATCAATTAACTAATTAACTAATTAATTAATTAATTAATTAATTAATTAGTTTTGTTTTCCCCCTTGTGTTGGCTTTTGACGATTGCTGATAAATCTCCAGTATCCCATTTGCCATCCCCTTTCGAAATGTTTCACTTAATACCCCAACAGCTAATCTCCAAAGCAATGCCAGGCATGCGTGCCCAGAGCCACATGAACCACATGAACAAGTTATCCCAGCCTCGTCCAACGGACCTTGACAGCGATGCCTTCCGACCCAGCTTGTCAACGGTGGTGCCATCTTCATCCGTTGCCACCATGCGGGATTCTTGTCGGCACCACGGATAGATGACAGCTGTGCTTTTCAGAGAGATGTATGGATGAACGGATAGATGGATGGGAATAAGCCCAGAAACCAGTGATGGATTTCAACATATTTCAACATTCGTGGAATTTCAAACGACCCATCAGGAAAACCACATACGCATCAGTGGCAAAATAATTCACCTCAGGTTTGTTTGTATGGGAAGCTAGGAATGGGAGTTCCATCATTGGAGGTACCATTAGAAGGGATGATTGGTTGAGAGGTGGTGGAATCAAATCTCTTTGAACACAGACTTTTGTGGAACACTGGAGGAAACACATCTCCTAAGTATCTTAAGTGTGGTTTGTGATGCTGAAATCTTTGTTCACTTTTAGCTTGCAGTTTCAGTCCTTCCTTTTTGCAGATTCGCAAGCTATGTGGCAGGATGAAGATGCTAAAATTGCATGGAAAATCACCATGAAACTTCCATGATTTCCCATCGATTCCCATTAAATAATCATTAATTAAATCACTGGAAAAATGATGAATACTCCTTCCAAATCATCATCCCAGGGTTTTCCCATGGTTTCCCATGCTTTCCCCATGGTTTCCCATGGTTTTCATGCTGAAACTCGCCATGACTTGCCGCTGAAACTAGGCCTCTGCAGCCACCCGCCCCTCGCGGCTTCGCTTCTCGGAGGCCTCGCCGGAGAGGTGCGCCAAAATCCATGGGAAAAATCATGGGAAAATGATGGATTTCATGTCGATTTGTCGATTTCATCGAGAAAAATGGATGGAAGATGGAAGTTTAAACCAAGAAAACATGGGGAGAAGCCAGATTTTTTGTGCTGGTTTGGAAGATACTTGATGATTAAAGCATGAACATTGTGGAAAAAAACAATGTATTTTCGAACAGGGACGATTTTTGAAAGTATTTTTTCTTGGGAGATGTTGACTATCTTTGTAGGTTTTCCGGATTTCGGACCAAACAATTAGTCAAATCAACGGCTTTTTGGTGATTCTTGAGGATTTTGGTGAATTTTGATCAAAGATTTAGAGAGGTTTATGGATTTTAAGTGGCAATAACTTTGATATTCAGCAGCAAAACATGTCTTTGGCTGCCGCCATGCCATCGGCCATCAGGTATGAGGAGATCAAACCTGCCTGGAGGGCGAAAGCTGCTTGGAGAGCAATGGAACTATGGGAAAATGATGGGAACATGATGGGAAAATGATGGGAAAACTTGGGGGTATCAAGGTGTTTGCCGTGTTTACCAAGACAACCATAAACCATCCCCCAACCACAGACACTGGCATTGGCTTCACCACAGAGCAGAGATTCACTTTGTCCAAGGTGATCCCTTTATAAAAAAAACTCAGAAACTGATGCTGCTACTCTCCAAGCGCACTGAAGTACCAGTGAAATTCCACCCTTTTGTGCAACTATTTGAGGTGATTTCAAGTGATTTCTAACATTCGGTGAGGCCCACGTGGCATCTTTGTTGGCTTATAAACCCATGAATACTAAAGTTGCATGTTCACCATCAACTTTGCGATTTCATTAACCAATATTAACCAGTTATACATGCCATGCAATCACCATATTTTCTTGACAAAATCCAAATTTTCCATCATGTTCCATCATTTTCCATCATTTCTCCATGGTTTCCCTATGGTTTTCCCAGGGTTTTCTCATGGAAACTCGTCCGAGGCGGTGGTGGAGGACCGCTCGGAGCGTTCCCCGCGAAGCTCGCTGCGCAGCTCGCAGAGCTCGGCGGAGGCGGCGAGGGCGGCGAGGCACGCCTTTCCGCAGAGTTCCTGGGCGGCTCCGGAGGGTACGGTGGAGGTTCCCTTTGGTGCTGGTTTTTGTTGGGGATCCTGATGGGATAAACATGGATAAACTGTTGGAGTTCAACTTGATGGGAGTTGAATAGGTAATATTATATGATAATTATGTTTAATTAGTATTACAAACCATACTACATTGTTGGTAACCACTATTATGTATGATGATATCTGGGTAAATTTGATTGCGACCTCATTGTTCTCCCTCACTGGAATCATGGTTAGGATTCGAGGAATTATCCCAATATAGCCCAAGATTTCAAGTCAGTTCATTTTGATCATTTGCCCCCAGGATCCAATGCGATCCATGGAATTTACAGTAACCAACAGTCTGGAATAGGATGGAATATCATATAATGTTTACAAAAAATATAATATAAAATATAATATAATATATATATATAATATACTATTTTAATATAATATATAATTTAATTTATAATATAATATATATACATAATATATATATATAATATAATGTAATAATATATTATATATATATTTATATTATACACATTATAATTGAAGTCGGAATCCCCTTGAGAGATCTCATAGCCGGTATCTAGAATACCCAAAGAAATCCTGGGAAATCGTGGTTATCAGTCATGACTTAAGTTATAGCTACTTACGTTATGTGTATTATGTGTACCCAGTCGTGAAACATCACTGAGGTAGTGCCAGGCGCACCATGTTCTTCGACAAATCGCCCGAGGTCACCAGGGGTCACCGGGTCACCCGGGAACGCCGGCCGGATTTTCCAGGATGATCGAAGCCCCCTTTAGTGGACGATCGAAGCCAGAAAGAATGGACATGTGACCAACATGATATGAACTGTTGAACTGGCATTGGTCATTGATTGGTCATTGATTGGTCATTGATTGGTCATTGATTGGTCATTGAGATATTGAGATCTATTCGGGTGGGAGAATTCAGAATGGGGATGTGGATTTCCGCACTGAAAAAAATGCAGATGAAGACACCAGAAATTGCATAGTGCCTGGTTGAGATTCCCCGCTGTGATAGAAACCATGACTGGAGATTCCAACGAGGGAGATGGGGATATCATCCCTGAAGATGGGATGATGATCCAACAGCTTTCATGGGCATTCATTGAAGCAAAGAACCAGAGACAGCAAAGCGTCATGTTACGAACGGAATTACGAACTTCTTCTGCTTCTCTAAATCATCAGAAAACTGTTGTTGTTGCCATGTTGCATTCCAAGGATGAACACTTGGGACTTTGGGGTCGCCTATTGACAGGCCCACATATTCTGGATACTTTAGAAAAACCGACCATTCATTGGGGGCCAATATGATCAATATGATCCAGTGATATTTAATTCATGCCCTCCGGTGTCATGGAAAACTTGGCTTTGAAAATCCCCAAACTGTCGCTTTTCCCATCATTTCATGGTCAGGAGATGGAGGCGATGTTTCAAGAGGCCTTGAACGACGAGGCGAGCGTTTTGCTTGAAGGAGATGCGGTAGTATGGGGGGTTTCCTCAAATGGGGGATGAATATGGAGTATTATGGATTAATATGGATTAACCAATATGGATTAATTCTTATGGATTAATATGGATTAATTCCAAGTTCTATGTGTGTTTTCACTAAAATGATCTGATTTGGGATGATTTGGGGATGCTTCCGTTTGTTGGAAACCTCCTTATTGGTAATATGGAGATATATAACATTATATAACTTCCAATTGCTGTCAAGAACCACATCGTTATCAATCACTTAATGGTAATAGTAATAGTGGCTTCATCAATTGCTGTGGGTAAAAAAGCAATGGGGATGTTAGTTATGGAAGGTTTGCCAAAAAAACACTATGTTTGCTTTTTTTTAAATGCCTGTAATCATGAAAAGTTGCCATCTACAAATGTTCCATGCGGGACATGGCGTACCTGGAATCACCGTGGTTTTCGTTTCGCTGCCAGGCTATCGGGGATCATCCTAAACAGTTTGCGAACTTGGAAATGGCCATAGACATAGTTGATCTATGTTGATTTACCCAGTAAAAAATGTGATTTTCCATACTTATGTATTACTTATGTTAGTTTACCAGAGGGTAGTGGAATTCATATTTTCCGTGACCCCCTTGTTGTTAAGATGTGTTCTTGTTTTACAACCAACAATGGGTGATTAGATGGGTTGGGTTGGAATCAGAACAAAACACTTTTTACAACCAATGTTAAGATGGAACATATGATAAGCCAATATGGCTGATTCTAAAAAGTTGGATTGTGTGATATGGAACATATGATAGTGTTTCCAATAGTGTCTATCACCCAATATTTCATAGTGTTATCATAACCAGTGTATAGTGACATAGAGTTTTTAGTGATCCCCATTGGTTGTAAATGATGTTGGGTAACATTTTTTCACGACCAATGTTAGATAACCCAATCGTTTGTAGCGATTCCAAGCCAGTGCAATTCAGGCGGAGAAGGAAGAAGACATGCATGTACGAGGCCTCGACTTTCGAAGTCGTCGATGGTGAACTTGGAAGGCTTAGTCGTCCCTATATGTCCCTATGAACTTCATGGGAAAATGATAGGAAAATCAATGGAAAAGATAAAAGATACAGTATCCACTTTTTGAATGGACATTTAAATGGAAGGACCTTTGAACTAAATGGCGGATTTTCCATTGCTGTGTTTGATTTCAAGAAGGTAACGTGAAATGTGGACTAATATGATAGTATATAATGAATACCACCGGTGGATCTGAAAAACACTTAAATGTTGATGTTCCCTTCCCGACATTCCCGACATTTCGGAATGCTTTTCCCACCTGTTAACTTTCAGAGATCTCAAGCAGTGTTGATCTCATGCCGGGGTCAAAGTTGACTCCATGGAGATAGTTGGTTACTCAACCATGGTAGGTAACTTTGGTTTACATCCACGCAACTCAAATTGCAACATCGGTAACTCAACGGTGCAGATAGTTGGCTCGACTGGGTAGAATGAAATCCGATTTTGAAAATGGGTCCCAAATGCGAAAATCATGATGAACCAGCGGATGGAATGGGGACCCTATTCTGAGTCAAACACTTTTTTGCAGTATGAACATCTCATACGTGTATTGAAGTCTTAAACATGTCAATCCTTTTTGCTAGATTAGTCTGATAAACCCAACAAAAAAACCTGATTCTATGATGGTCAATACTCCTCATTTTTGGTGAAATTGAGGATGGTTTACAGCCTTGGGGTTGTCCTATGGTTGTCCTATGGTTTTCCTATGGTTTTCCTATGGCCCTGCTGGGTTTACAGGTGAGGACCCTGAAACGGCCCGCTGTCGCCTGCTGACGCACCTGCGGGCCGTCATCGAAACGGACCGCCGGTTTTGCACGGGGACCATCCCGTGACCCCTGAATATATTATGGAATATACCATACCCATATGCTCCATGTATGGTATATTTACCTACATTTGGGTGATTTTTAGGGCAAATGTTGGTAAATATTCCATACATGGAGCATATGGGGTATATATCTGGGTAAATTTGATCACGACCTCACTGCGACCGAGCCCTGGAAATCATGGTTTTCATAAGGGAAATGATTCCCAAATGGTCTTAATTCAGGTTAGGGAAATATTATATTGTAATTTATCCAGATATATGGGATATATGATCCCATCTATATATGGTTTTTATGGGATGATATATAGCTAGGGATATCCCATGATCCCAGAATATCTGGTATATATATTATATATGGAAATATATTGGGAGTAATGGGATGGAACATATGGTATATATGGGGTATATGGTATATATGGTATATAATTACAGGTCATGGGGATATATTCCTGTAATATTTCTATAGGAATATTTTTGGTATATATGGTATGATATGGGATATATGGAAATATATTTACCATATATCCCATATTTACAATATATATATATTATTGATATTATTGGATATATGGAAATGATATGTCAATTGGTGGTTTGGAACATGAATGAATTATGACTTTCCATATATTGGGAATTTCATCATCCCAATTGACGAACTCATATTTTTCAGAGGGGTAGGTATACCACCAACCAGTGTTTTTTGTTGATTCCGGGTGATTTTCTTGAGATGCTAGTTATCGTGATCATCGTGACAATTCTGGGATAATAATATCGTGATACTAGTTATCTATAATCAATTTTGCTCGATAATATAGAATGATAATCATACTACTAATGATAATGATGATCAATTTGGGATAATAATGATCAATGATGATGTATTGGATTAATATTGATCCATAATATAAAAGACTTTTCTGGATTAATTTGTTGGGATGGAAAATCATAGTACTGTAATATTGACCCAGAATAATACTGAGATAAGTGTTATGGCATGGATATCAATATTATCATCATTAAAACTACAATGGGAATATTATTGATAATATTTTGTATCAATATTATTCAACATTAATCCCAATATAATATCTATCTATCTGATGGTTGCTGCACAACTCAGCCATGCAAGAAAGTCTTTTTGGAGACCCTTTTCAGATGTCACAGCTAAACGATATTGTTAGCATTTTTCGGGCTGTTGATCTTCAACCTGTGTGTTTTTTGTTTCCCTTTTGTGTTTTGGGGTCGCCAAATCCCTTTCTACAAGGTGGGCCCAAGTTACCGGATGGTTAAACCGATCCAGCAAACATGCTATAATATCTTATACCCAGGAATATCCATAGATCCCAGTTGTCGTGATTAAAATTGCGCAACTCACAACGAACAAGGCCCCGGAACATTAAAAAAAGCGATCAATGCGTGTTTCGGGGCCCATATCTTGGGGAATCCCAGATTCACGAGGACATCTTCGAGATGTTAATTTCCTGCCTCATCCTGGGAAATGTCGTTGTCATGGCAGCTGCGGTGTGTCTCGGTGTTGTCATGGAGATAGGGATTTAAACAACAAACATGGTGGTATAGTGGGGATAACATGGGGATACCACTGAGAGAAATCATATATAGTCGAGATAATCGGTTTTTGATGATTGATGGGGGTATAGGGAGGATTGATAGCAATTAAATCGACTATGAATGGGGATGTTAATAGGAATATTGCTCGAGATATAACCGGAATAGACTGGGAATTCAAAACCACTAATATCTGATATGGTGAATATATCTGGATAAAGTACAACGAGCTCACTGCAACGTTACTGGAACGATGGATGGTTAGCATTTGGGTGATCATCCCCTTACATGGGTTTATTTTTGAGCTTGGTGAATTATCATAATATATCGAGATGCAGGTTTAATAGATTTTAATTTTTAAACACTTTATCCTCCAAGGTTGTCTTCAATTTTCCAATGGTGAAATCATGTTATAGATCCGCTGCTTTTACGTTTTTCAAAAGGATTTTTCTCGCCCATTACCTCCCGAACAGAAGAGTTCGCCGAATCGGAGTTGTCCAAGGTCACGGAGTAGGAGTCCACAATTGCTGTTGAACTCCCCAAGTTGAATCATTTTGGTGTACTCTTGACTAGATACTTAAGGCCAGACCAGGATATGTTCACTCATACACTACGAAGGTCCACGAAATCCACAGTTTTGCGCCCAAGTTTCTTGGTTAAACCACCATTTTTCCATGGTTTTCCCGTTTGAGATGTCCCAGGCAGTACCGTGGCTTCGATATCGGCTTTGCTCTCGAATACCCTGGCAGCACTTCGCGTGCCGATGATCTTTGGCCAGGCTTTCACCTTGGATCCCAGCAATGCGGCAACAGATCACCCAAAAGTGGTGATTTCACCGCTAAAAGTATGAATTTAAACAGCAACAATTTGCGAATTCATCAGGCAAAACTAGGATTTCATCAAGAAACACCAGCAAAACACATGACTTTTCCAAGAAAAGATTGCGAGTTCTCGCCAAACAATTGGATGTTACCACAAAAACTCGGCGTTTGCAGAAGGGTTTCAACAAAAAGTGCGGAGCTAACCAGAAAGAGAGGTATTCAAGTAGCCCAAGAGTGTGGTTTCCGCAAGATATGTGTTTGTAGTATGTGTAGTATGTGTATGTGTTTGTAGTATTATTATTATTATTTAATCTGTCTTCTTCTTGTTGTTCTTGTTGTTCTTGTTGTTCTTGTTATTCTTGTTGTTCTTGTTGTTCTTGTTGTTCTTGTTGTTCTTGTTGTTCTTGTTGTTCTTGTTGTTCTTGTTGTTGTTGTTGTTGTTGTTGTGGTTGGTGTTGGTGTTGGTGTCGTTGTCGTTGTCGTTGTCGTTGTCGTTGTCGTTGTCGTTGTTGTTGTTGTTGTGGTTGGTGTTGGTGTTGGTGTTGGTGTTGGTGTTGGTGTCGTTGTCGTTGTCGTTGTCGTTGTCGTTGTCGTTGTCGTTGTCGTTGTCGTTGTCGTTGTCGTTGTCGTTGTGGTTGTGGTTGTGGTTGTGGTTGTTGTTGTTGTTGTTGTTGGTGTTGGTGTTGGTGTTGGTGTCGTTGTCGTTGTCGTTGTCGTTGTTGTTGTTGTTGTTGTTGTTGATGTTGTTTGTTCTACCACGGCTTGAATCAACAACCAGTCACGTCGCAAGTCCCTTTGTCAAAATCCATGGCGATGTTCGGCAGGTGCTGCGAATGTGCTGCATGTACTGGATGTGTTCTTCACCCTGATCTTCTTTTTGGAGCTCTTGTTGCGATTGTGCCTTGCTGCGAATGTGCTGCTGTAAAATCAATGGGATATCTATGGGATATAAATGGGATATCTATGGTTTTCATATGGGATATCTATGGTGTTGAAAATAGAATGCATAATCTGGATTAATGTCAACCTTATGTCAACCCTGGAAGAAAATGTCAACCCCTAAAACGGCTGTTGAATTAAGGGAGGGTACCATAAATAAACACGTACTAGATTATGGTACCAAGTAACATTTAAGTACCATTAATTGGGTTGTTTATTGGAGGAGTAGTGGATGGGCCAGCGGGATCCGGTGCACCAGTTTAGATGGTTTATCCCATGATTTATAGGTTTTTTTTGGCACCCACCGTACGTTTGGGGAGTTTTATGGTGACATGACATGTAGACAATCTTGGATAGCTCGATGTTGCTTGGAAAAACCAAGAAATCTACTAGGTATATGGTTTAATTATGGTAGATATCTATAGATTGGGGTAAAACTAAACCAACTTATAGCATCTTACGCCGCTAGGGGGTACCACTTTGTACTTTGCTGAGCCATAATTGTTGGGATACACTGTTGACCTGCCTTGAGAAAATGCAGGGTGTCTAAGCTTGTGAATCTTACTTCCATAGTTTTTGTGTGTTTTAACTATCTCAATGTACATATACGTATAATTATATCATAATAAATTTATATACAGCATTTTGTACTCATGATCAAACGGAGATATCTGAACATAACCAACTAGAAAACAAACATACATGTATCTAAACAGATTTGGCAATAAAAATGCAACTGGATGCCGGATATTTTTTGTGGCTAACCATCTAAAAATGTGGGTGAATTATCGGTGGGATGATAGGGATATTATGTATATATATATATAATATGTATTATCATGTTTAGACCTCACAATGGTCGACCAAACTCCATACATGATGATTTTTAGGGAGCTATCCCAGTGGTGCCTCAAAGGATCCATATATATATATATATATACATATTTGTTTTCGGGTCACTTATTGGGATATTGATGATATTTTGTGTTTGGTATAAATTTTATAAATCATACTTGTTGTAGAAACCTTAATGCCACTTGAAAATTTGAGTTTGTTTGACCTGGGCAATAATAATCCATCCAGATGATTGAACTATAAATCCATGAATTATCCAATCTATACCCCTATCAATTGCATATGTTTCATGCTTGTCAAACCTCACCTTTTTTGATAGTCAAACAAATCACTCCTCCCAACTGCCCATTCCAAATGTTGGTGATGTCACCATTAAACAAAATGGTGGTCGAGGACGGTCTATCGCCTGGCCTTCTTCAAACTGGCATTGACTCCGGGGATGAACAGAGCTGGAAGGTGGAGATGTCATCCAGTCGTCATGGATGACCATGACTTAGTATAGGTTAACCCATGGTGACTGAGGATTCCCCGTTTGAGTTGGACTCCCATGTACCAAAACTGTTTAGGAAATGGTCGTATTTTTGAGTTGGACATTTAAGTTTTTTTTTTCAAGTGTAATGATCGGTGACATGTCACTTAAACTTGAAGTGGTCCTCCAATGCCATATGGGTCAAGCGGTCCTGTTTTTTCTTGTGTGTTGATTTGGGTTTGATACCTCATATATAATCATATATATATATATATGTGTATATATATATATTATTCTAGTGGTGTTTGGGTGGTTTTCCGTAGTCATGCAAATGGGGTTTGAACCATCCAACGCTTGAGTCACTTGAGTATATTTGAATACTGTTGATAGAGATTTGTTGTCTGCCGCAGTCATTCCTGTGTTTTAAATCATGGGACGAGACCGCTGTTGCTTCCGGGGAATACGTTGGAATCGTCATCATTATTTCATGGACACATGGGAATTGCAAGTCCGAAACTTCTGGGGTTCCAAGTTTTCAAGGTAGTGAACCTCTGTGAAGCTCCGGTTTTTGTTGCAAAAATGTATTGGTTGAATCAGAATCGATCTCCTGTCGCACGAGTCAGGTTGAGTCCTCTCCCCAATTTATTCAAATGTTTTCACAGTAGAGGCGATAGAAAAGGCAACATTTTCAGGTGGGTGAAACTTTTGGGATGCTCAAAGACATGTCGGGGTTCAAACTGGTTGTTTGTTAAATCCACATGAGCATTAATGAAAATCATACCACGACCTGGGTGATAGGGAATTACAATGACCCATATTAAGGAAACCTATCAACCAGCTAGTATAGTGGTATGGAATAGGGGTATTTTTGATGGCCCATCCATGTCACCGTGGGAATGGATCCCCATACAGCGCATCCCGGCCCTAAAACTATAGCCTCTGCTAATCAGTCACATGGCTAGATGGAAATCCGATTTTTCCATGAAACGCTGATCTAGTTATAGGATTTCCCGGCCATGTTTGATTATCCGCTCGTAGATTTCTCCCTCATCTGAGAGGGTAACGACATTGATGGCCGCCTTGAGACCCCAGGAACTGGTTAGACTTCACCGTTGTTCTCTTCTCGTTCATGGAACTGCTGGCAGCTTCAATACCCGGCAGTTCCACAGCGACTTGGACAGTGTTCTTTTTTGCATAGAACTAGGGCTTATTACATGGGTTTTCTACTAGGGTTTATATGTCGTTCGTCGGGGGGTCTCAACCCCACCTATGATCACATCCTGCAGGTCTAAAAAACAGCACTTAATAGGGATTTTGCATCATGAAAATTGACGGGAAACGAAGCAATTGACGGGGCACCCATAGTTGGTTCCACCCAGATCCACCAAGGGACTTCAACAGGGGGATTGAACATGATTGAACCAGCAGCCATGAGTTCCCATGTTTCTGCCAGTTCCAGTTAGCTGTTTTGGGATGGAATGGGATGACTGTCAGATAAGCTAAGATCCCATTTCCTGATCATAAAGTTCCATGAGATTCCCTGAAAATCTCATCAAATCCAGCGTGTTTCGGGAGCTCTCCCGTTACATGGCACAAATCCCATTCAAAGTTCCGTGAGATCCACGGTTTTTCGTGATGGAAAACCATAGATATCAGTTATTTTGATTGAAAACCATACCCATGCCGTTTTTCCAGATCCACCAAAATCCCACGATATCAATATGCATTTTATATTGAATCCATTTTCACTTTTTTGATTCCAATCCCTGTGATTGAAAATAACATCAGTTATTTTTCACTTTTTTCAATGCCAGACATGTCTCAGGTGCTGCGTTTGGTCCGCTTGGCCAAGTTGGCCCGCGGTCTGCGAGTGGTGCGCATGGCGCGGATCATGGATTCCCTACACCTTTTGTCCCATGGACGCACTGGGTCACCAGGAATTGAAATGGTGGGAAAACCATGGGATACCATAGGAAGCCGTAGGAAACTACACATAATATACTACCATAGGAAACCAAAGCAAAATGGTGATTGAACCCAGAATCATGTGGATTTAATAATGGGATTTATAGCTGATTTATCATTGGATATGATGGGTTAAAGGGGATTAATCAGCAGGAAATATGGATTAATATGGTATGTACCCTGGGGTTAACACAGATGTGCAAAACTCATTGGTTTCCATAGGATAATGATCTACAGATGGTGTGTTTTCCGCATCGAACTGTTACTTTACAGGAGGGTAATCATGGGGATCTAAGGGGTAGATAATGGGAGATATAACTACCAACAATATGATGGTTTACTGTGTCCAAACATAAAGGGATTTAACTCAATATACATACCTACCTACCTACATACATACATCCATGCATCCATACATTGCATGGCATACATCCATACATCCATCCATCCATTCATCCATCCATCCATCCATACATACATACAGACACACACACACACGTCCATCCATCCATCCATCCATCCATCCATCCATCCATCCATCCATCCATCCATACATACATACATACATACATACATACAGACACACACACACACATGTCCATGCATACATCCATACATCCATCCATCCATCCATACATCCATCCATCCATCCATCCATACATACATACAGATACACACACACACGTCCATGCATACATCCATAGATCCATCCATCCATCCATACATCCATCCATCCATCCATCCTTCCATCCATCCATCCATACATACATACATACATACAGACACACACACACACGTCCATGCATACATCCATAGATCCATCCATCCATCCATACATCCATCCATCCATCCTTCCATCCATCCATCCATCCATCCATACATACATACAGACACACACACGTCCATGCATACATCCATACATCCATCCATCCATCCATACATCCATCCATCCATCCATACATACATACAGACACACACACACACACACGTCCATGCATACATCCATAGATCCATCCATCCATACATCCATCCATCCATACATCCATCCATCCATCCATACATACATACAGACACACACACACACGTCCATGCATACATCCATAGATCCATCCATCCATACATCCATCCATCCATCCATCCATACATACAGACACACACACACACACACGTCCATGCATACATCCATAGATCCATCCATCCATCCATACATCCATCCATCCATCCTTCCATCCATCCATCCATACATCCATCCATCCATCCATACATACATACAGACACACACACACACGTCCATGCATACATCCATACATCCATCCATCCATCCATCCATACATCCATCCATCCATCCATCCATACATACATGTAATTAATAGGGAACATGATGACAAACCTTATTCTAAGACGAAACCATTCTTGTTTGTTGTGCCGTCTCACTGGACCATCCAGCGATGATCTGATTGGTAGCCTCTGGTAATTTGACGTAGCCAAAACTGAGACGTTTAAAGAATATTTACCATCATGTACCTCTTCAACATGACTATGGCCATGTAAACGAATAGCACAGACATTTTGTTTCTTACCATCGGCACCAGGTTGAAGAGCATCGGTGCGAGTTTCTCAATGCTCTTGTGGTCCATGTTATTGCTGGCCGTCATCCAATGCACCGCAGGCGCGCAGTTTCCAACGGGTCCTATGAGGATCGACCATGAGATGTTTAGCCATGTCTTTCCACAGACATTTGGCATGACCTTTTTTTCGCATGACATTTTTTTCACATGTTGGTGGTCCAGTGCAAAATATGAAATATATAACTTAGACCACAACATGTAGAAAATGATGGACACAGATAGATATGATATGCAGAATCACATACAGATGATATAATATACATGCACACAAATTTATTGATATAAATTTAGATAGATAGATAGATATAAATTTAGATAGATAGATAGATAGATAGAATGATAGACAAGAGAAAGACAAAACAGAACATCAGCATTTAAAAAAAATAGATATTCAATAGACAAATAGACATACAGACACTGCGAGCAAACGGAGGCATGTTTGTTGGCTACTTGGTGATGGATTTCCTGGAGAGGGCTTCCGGCACTGTGCCGGAGGACGTGCGACGGCAAATCTACAGGTACCGATCCGATCGTGGCAAATCCACACTGGGCCTGGATTCCGGTACAGATAGTTACGGTAGAAATATGCAAGCTGAATGATGTTGAACTTTTTTTTTTCGTTTTGGTTGGCAAAAAACCATTGAAATTCCAGAGAATCACTGTTTAACGCTGAATGATGTTCTGGTTAGTGGTTTGGAACATGGTTTTTATGACTTTCCATGTATTGGGAATGTCATCATCCCAATCGACTTTCATATTTTTCAAGGTGTTAAAACCACCAACCAGTGTTGAATCAATTGTTTTTTTTGAACATCCATTGAATTTCCACAGAATCACTGTTGATGTTGGAATTCTGAAAGCGTCCCCTCAAATCCCCAATGACTCCACCAGAAGGTCTAGATCCATGAGGAGGTTGTCACCCCCAAATGACCAGCAAAACCAAAAATGGGAAATTACATAAATAAATTCATGGATTTATGGAAATGACCACTAAATTCAATGATTGTTTCTAAGACTTATGAAATTTAGCTAAATTTAGTATGCAAAATGAATTCAATCCATTCTTTTTCACAAGATTTAGCATGATACATCCACTAAAACCCATGAAGGTCCCATGAGCCAGCAGAAGGAAACCACCCAAAGTAAGAATTTCAATTGAAATCAAATTACTTTCAATTGATTTTCCTTCTAAAGGATAAGGATTTCAATTGAATTCAATTTATGGCCAGGGGGGGTGAGGGTGTTCTTTAATTGGGGGTGCACATGCACATTATTTTGCGGGGGGCAGCCAACCTAAAGGGGTAACCGTTACGGGTAACCCTTGAAGAGCTTCTCAAAATGCAAATTGTTCAACAAGAAAGTAATTAAGGACAATGTTTTTTTCAATCAGATTTGTTTTTTCTGGATTTTGGGGATTCCGTGCCTTGAGTCTCTTCAATATATATATATATATACATGTATTGACATAACTACAAAGCATCTCATCCGCTGACTCTGCGCAATACATTTCCTTTCCTGAACCGTTTGTATCTTGCATCCCTTTGAAGGCAGCACCAGAACCATCAGGTCAGAGACAGCCAAATTACTTTCTCACCAACAAAAAAAAAATCCAGAAGGGTATTCTTAAATAGTTATTTAACTAGGGGGTGGCCACCCATGTTGATTTATAGGGGGTACCAACCCAAAGTAGTATTAACAACAAATATTTGGACTGTAAGTGTTGATTAATTCGGGGAGGATTAATATGAAGTTAACATTAACCTAGGTATAAACGGGACAAGCCAATTTTTGTGGGATTCTGAATAATAAGTGCTATTACCCAATCAGCTGGTAGCAAACCACGATCATTTGCGGGGGTTCGGGTTTGTCACATGGGAATATCCCATTTGGGCTCAATTAGGAATAATTGATGAACATGTAATATTCATGTTTATATACGTAGTATATAGACTGTATTTGTCTATTATAGACTATCTCTCTGTTTTCAATGTTTTGTGGAAGACATTGTGGAATAGACAAAACAATGAAGAATAACGCGAAACTTCGGAAACAACTTCACCAGTCTCACCTTTGTCAGCCCTGCAAGAATGAACATCGAAATGGCAGTGTCTTACAATCCTTAGCTCTAAGATCTCATGTGTAATCCTCATGTGTTCATTGGTATTGTTTTTTAGACTTAAGTCATCATTTCAGATGCAAGTACAGTAGTCATTCCTCAAACACTAGACATCATAATTTGGGTTAACCCCATGAATCCCATGAGTTTATCAGTGTTGCTTTTGAGACCATCATGTTCAGGTCTCTCTTTTTTTTCTGAGACAAAAGCCATGTCGGTGCAGGTACTATGGCACCTTCACCTACACGATTCTCACCATGTTTGATTCTTGGCGTGAAAATTCACGAAAATTCAGCCAAGAACTGCGGGCAAAATCAGGCTGTTTTTCAGGCTGCTGTGGTTTCACGGAGATCAATTCTCCATGACTGCCACGATTCTCCCATGATTCTCCCATGGCCTCTGGTAGTAATCAGTGCCTCTGGCCGGTAGGCTGGTGGCCCTCGATGGGTTCTATACCATTAAATCCTATGAAATCCCATGAAATCCCATGAAATCCCATGAAATCCCATTATGTAAATCACAATTTTGTGTCTTCAGTGATGCTATTCACAGGGTTTTTGAAGGATCACCATCTTCCGCAGGAAGTGATCTTTGCCAATTGGCCGATCCCATGCTGCTTGGCAAAACAACATGGAACCGTAAGACACTATTGTCATCTATTGCCTTTTGAAGGGAACATATATATATAGATAGATTTTGTTCTTTGCTCAGAATCAATGAGAAGGAATTCCCATGTTTCCAAGCTGGTGTATATATTTAGAACTGACCCTCAGAGATTTACAATGGTTCAAGTTGACTTTCTGATTTCATTGTTGTCGCATTACTGTGGTTTCCAGGTGTTGTTTGTTTCCAAAAGCAACCAACTGGGTATGTGCACGGTGAGTTTACTGTATCCCCCATTATTGATCATGTGTTTCTGGTTGGTGGTTTCATGTTTTATTTTCCATAATATATGGGTTGTTATCCTTCCCATTGACGAACTCATATTTTTCAAGATGGTTGAAACCACCAACCAGTTTTCATCATCCTCGCAAATGTTGTTTGTTGCAATCTCCTAGTGGACCATGGTGCCAACAAACTGTGGATCTTCGTGACGAATCACATATAGTTTACAAGTTGTTTTAGTTCTAGGTATCTCAACTGAATATCATTTAAACCATGATCATCTTTTTTTTTCTAAGAAACTACCAAAAACTATGTTCATCATGATGTTCATCGCCTATAAAGCATGTTTTTGTTGTTTATAAACCCCTTCAACCCCTATCAGCTTCTCCAGGCCGCCTCTTGGTAGACCATGTGGACGAGTGGTTCTCCTTGTTCTTCATCATCTACCGCTGTGTGGTCGGTTTCTCGCCCGAAATTTTGGGCGATTGGATCAGTACTTTTTCTGATCGCACATGAATTGAATGGGTCATTTGGGTCATTTGAAGGTACGAAAGCGGTACCATTCAATGTCAAGAATTACTCAATCTGGTTGGTGGTCTGGAACATTTGTTTAATATTTTTCAGAGGGGTTGCTCAACCACCAGCAATTGATGTCATGAATTGCCACCTTTGTGAGTTGAAGGGTTCATGTGCTCTGGCAAAGCTCAAACATCAGGATCATCAGATGCAGAATCTGCAGGACAGATGTATTTTTTTCACCAAGAGACTGGAATGGACAATTGGACGAACGGGACCCTGAACTCATAATATACCAAGGGTCAAATGGATCTGAGTCACGTTGTTTCTAAATGTTTCTAAAACTCCGGAATCTTTTTCGGAAACCGGGGTTCGGGGCGCCCAGACCTTTTAGATCCTTTTGGCGGTTCTCTTCTTGAAGTTGGGAAGTGAATGCTACAACTAGCATCAAATTCATAAGTAGCTGGTAGAAGCCACAAACAAACCATGATTTGGGGATAAATTTAAGGAATGGTTAGTTGATTCTTTCCTATCCAGCTTCACTGAAGCTACTCAACCCCCAAGAGATCATCCCTGGCAATGGATCAGGATTAGCAATGATTGATGGATGATATCCGCCCATAATCTTCGCACGATCATCCCTATATAATATTATCCCCGTTATATATGATTACAGTATATTATCCGCATGAAATACACGTTGAACCCCCATTCTTATTGATTAAGTCACCATTTTGATGATTAAATCACCTTTCATTTACGATTAACGCATGGATTAATAGCCCAACAATCCCATATCGGTGGTGATTTTATCATTTCAGTATCCCCAATATCCATAGATCATAGTTTATAGATCCCACATTTCTGCTTTTGGACCCGGATTACGCCAAGGCTTCTGTGTCCTGAACGTCATTGGCGCAGCATCTCGCCCGACGGGCCGAAACCCGATTCCGCTGAGAGTTGGAAATCTAAGAAATGCGGACTGTAAATCGGGTGAACTGTTGCTGTTTAAATGTGGGTTTGTCTGAAAATAGTGTACCCCCAAACCCAATGCTTAGTGATCATTATCCCTATTAAATGGCTATAATTGGAGGTATACCCTATTTTCGGACAAAACCATGTGTTTAAGAACTGTTCTTAGCAGAAATCGATGCCAAAACAATAGTGGAAAATAGTGGAAAACTAACTGTTTCGAACTAAACTCAACACTTCAGTTTCTGTTCATTTTGGGTAGCTGCCGTATCTACAATATTTCCTTCCGTCATTTTTGTTTCGGGTACAGTAACCATGTTCACCGCTTTTGGCGATGAGGTCTTTGTTCAGCAGACCATGAGCCTTGGCTGAAGGGCATCATCCCCATATCCCCTGTGATATTCCATAGAGTGAACTACTCATTGATGATATCCCACTCAGAAATCATGAAACCAAACGGTTTCCAAGCCATTTCGAAACCATGTACTTTCCAAACAGAGTTATTTCTCCAAAAAAATTCATCACATGCCGAACTGGAAGTTGGTTCCACATGTTTGCGAAGGATCAACTGGCTTTGCGCGAACAAAACAACACGTGGGAAATCCATAAATTTCCCACATGGTAGCCATGACTAATATACAACGGACGTTGATTACTATATATGTTTACCAATATAACCAACGTTTATTATAATTTTAACGTCAATTGTTATTTTTACTCATCCCTACAGCTACAAACAACTTCTGCTACTGTATTTGAGGTTGTTTTTTGCGACAGCGTTTGTGAGAGGGTACTTGGAGTAGGGAATCATAGGGCATTTTACCAGTGGAGATTTAATCAACAATCATTGACAACCAATGTTTTCCACTGGTAAAATTGATAACAACTGGTAATTCCATGTTCCACTGGTAAATAATCGTTTATTGGAATTGGAATTGGTTGTTAAATAATCATTTACTGATTGTTTTCTTACAAGAACCAATGTTTATTTAACAAGCCATGTGAGTATATCTACCAATATTCGCCGATTATTAGCGACTTATAAATATTTGCCGACTAGCAATACAGCACTGGAAACTATAAGCACTACTAGTAGCACTATTAGCAATGACAATAGCAAATGATTTGCACTTAATATAATATCAAACAACATTAATTAAACACTATATTAATCACTTTTGATTAATCACTGTTAAACAATATTAAACATCGCACCCACAGATTTCTCACCGTGCACCCGTGGCCATTCCCGTTGCACTTACGGTGCCGCCGTAGGAAAGTGGCAGCTGATGATCACGAGCTCTTTATGCAGCAGCAGACGCGCAACGCGGAAGCGTACGCCAGGAAGATCAAAGATGTGTGTCTTGGAGTGGTATTGGGGGATCGATGTTGAAATCACTGTAAATAGACAAGTATATTTATACGGTAACAACATTTAAATATGTGGAGGGCCCAGACCACAAGGTCCCGGAGGTAGTATGAAACACCAGTTCCATCCGTATATTTAAATGCATATTTCAATGAATTAAATTCAGTATGTTTAAATGGCTGGGCGGGCCAAGGAAAACCTTCCCGGAGGTAGTCTAAAATACCAGTTCGAATATTTAAAGATTTGTATATTTAAATGACTTAGATGCACTTACCGTATTATATTATATTATATTATATGATATCATATCATATTATATTATATTATATTATATTATTTTTTTTTTTCAAAAAACAATCACATTATAGTATATTATGTTATATGTGCGTATAGTATAATATATATATATACACATTATATTATACTATTATACTATTTTACATTATATGAATATATACTGTATTGTTTTATGTTATATTATAAACTGTTTTTAGCAATACCAGTCTTACTATTATTATTTGGTATTTTTGGTATGTTCATTGTTGATATTGTTACTCGTCTTATTGCCATGATATTACTGTAAGAGTCTTAGGATCTATCATGTATTTTTATTCGTCTTTGTTATAATTACATCATAGGCATCATGTTACATGTTATTATTATCAGTACCATTGCCTCATTGTTATTACACAATATTATGTATGCATATATATAGTTATATATATAGTTATATATATACACGCATGTCTGTACATGTGTGTTTGAGTATCAAACATGGTGCAGACATCTACAGGCCCTTGACTTCAGAAGAAACACCCCCTCCGCGGGTTGAGGTTTACAAAACTTGATACTTCAGGAGTCTTGGTGGCAACAAGTCAGCCGGAGCTACTTCCATCCTGACATTGACATGGCAGATGACATCTATGAATGAATATGAATGAATATGATAGAATTTTCAAGGTTCATGACAGGGATAGATTATAGGTCCATATTCCTATGGAATCAGAACCAGACCAGCTGGATGAACATTGCGGGGTCTCCAGTCTGAGGCGAGGGTGTGATTTTCATGGATGAGTTCGTGGAGATTCTGAACACGCCGACCATGTGACCTGGATAATCCAATCGTCCCATTTCCAGATTTTTTCCAAACGCTAGGACCGAACAAGGACCGATGTTGGATTCAAAATGTTGGATATGTTGGATGCATGGACCATAAACATCCATAAACATCCATAAACATCCATAAACCTTTTTGGCACTTAAGTCACAACTGTTGGTGAATTCCAAGTTTTTCTTGGCTCAACTGTCGTGTCGTGTCTGCTATTGGCCGTGAGATTCTCAGCTCCTGCTGTTGGGTGATCCATGGATCGTTGATGCAGATGGTGAGGTCGCATTTTATGACGAAGCTGGAACTTGAATCAACAGATCTTCTCAGTCTCTTCAAGCTGATCCTTGGTTGCTATCACTATATAGATGGGCGATTTTATGTGATTTTTAGTACAACATGGTAGTATAACATTGGAGATGATTCTATCAGAAAACAGTTTTATTGGAGAATTGTGGAACCACTTTATAGCAGCGATATTATTGTTTTTGAACCGTTTTTTTTCATAGCATTCTTCACGTTCCATTACTACCTGGGGTGTCTTCAATATGGACACTGGGCGTCCGGCTTGTTCACACTCAGAACTGAGGAACTGCCCAGAGGGAATGGCCAGGGAATATCATAAGATCATGGGAATATGGGCACGTACTCGACCACTACCAAGGATTGATGTGGATGATACGGGTCATGTCTCCCTGACCTGTTCGTTGATGTTCCCAGTTAACCTCCATTAAAAAGGCTGTTGCCAGGTTTGATTACCAGTAACCACCAGAATAGCGCCAGATTTTGGGGCAGTTTTTTTGACAAACCAAAAACATCCAAAAACTTTTTTTTGCATTCTGGTTTATGATTGTAGTAGATTTTTTAGTAATTCTCAGATGGCGAAAAACTTTGATTTCCAGGATGGTATTGGATAATTTCTCATTATTTCCAGGTTTCCAACATTGCCAGTGACATCCACAGGAAACCAATTTTATTTCACGGCGCGGTGTGATTTTTTCGAGTCTGTCAAGGGAAAGTTCAGAAGGTGAAAACTTTAGGGTTTCCCGTGTGAATTTTCCCTGAAACCAACCCTTAAGAATAGTTCAAGAAGGGCTATTTGGTTTTGCTAGCCATGTGAATGGGTAAGTATTTCTTTGGTGTGATATCATAACGTTCGTATCAAGATTTTTCTGGATAGCTATGGCTGGTCAGAGGAGGTGTGATATCACCTTGCCTTACGGCCACAATTCACACGGGGCATTGAAGAGTTAAAGGTGAAATGATATTATCCCTAGTCACATTAGTCACTGCAACTAGGGTTATTTCGTCAGTATGGCTGTCGAATGACATTTTGAGCAGTGGCCATTTCACGCCACGAGGGTCACAATATGTCACAATGACATGTTTTCAGATGTTGGTGCACAGAGGATAGATCACTTTGTAAGGATAATGATTAACAAGTGACAAGACCTATGCATCAGCCGCAAAAACAATTGTGATCCCCACCATGACATATCATTTCGACATTCAATTTGGCATCCATTCTGAGTTCGGGTCCAGGCGAGATCGCCACATGGGGCGGAGGTGGACGAGGACGAAGAAGGAGAACGAGGAGAGGAGGAGGAGTTGTTTCTTTCTTAAAATCTAGAGACCCTCACCTGGCAGGTGGGGAAAACGTTGATCTGATGAATTAAAGAAATCCGTGGCCAGGTTGCGGGTCTCCAAAGAATCCCTCCCCCCCGTGGCCAGGTGTCGCTGGAGGACTTCATGGCAGGTTGTCAACGGCTCAAGGGACCTGCCAAGAGCCTGGGCCTCGGAAGGCTAACCCCATGGCTGCAAATCCCGCCCAACTGGAGCTTTGTAGATGGGAAATCCATTCGAAAATATGGGAAATCATAGGAACATAATAGGAACATCCACTACAAACAGCGCAATGTACAGAGATGTGGAAAACACACCATGTAGATCATTCTTAATTTTAGGGAAACCACGAAATTTCATTGGTTTGTCACATCTATGTGAGTAGTAACCCTTGGGTATATTTGGGGATTTAATATGCAAGAGTATGGACATATATATATATATATAATAATAGTGATTTATGATGGGAATTCATCATTATGGGGATCTTGCACCAACTAGCAGCAAGGTTAGAATGGAGTTCACATATGATCCAAACCGACATGCTCAAAAACCTGCCTAAAGGGCCAGTGTTTTGGTATTTACCAGACGACGAACCTTGAACCCTAAAACCCTAAAACCCTAAAACATTAAAATCATAAAACCCTAAAACTCTAAACCCCAAAACCCTGAAGACTCTGAATCCGAAAGCAGAACACACTGCGTTTACGCAGTATTTTCTGCAATTTCTTTTCTCATCTTCGACTGTTCGGGAATCCAAGCAATGTTGCAGTCCGGGCAAAATAAGAGGGGTCTGTGCGTAAGATTAGATCTGGAAATCTATACCCATAGGATCCATGTATGCTATATATGGTAACATTTACCATCAATATACCCCCAATGTTAGCATATATACCAGCACCATGGATCCTATGGGATATGGTTAGGGCCTAAACGGGATCAAACGGGATATTTTATGGGGATGGATCATGGCATCTGAATGGCGATTGCGGGATGTTATGGAGATGAAACTTGCATCTCAATTGGGGATATGGGGATATTGTATGATATCATGGGATTTTTACAAACAACAATATGTGAATGTATTTGAAAAATATGTTGTGGCAGTGGCTGAGTGAATTGTTCATCCATGCTTAGTCAATGTCAGTCAGCTATGCTTTATGCAATCACTGGTTGGCGGTTTCAACATGGGGATTTAAGATCATGGGGACAACCAACCAATAGACCATTTGCTCGCTGGTGGTTTCAAATAGTTGTTGTTTGACTTTGAACATATATGAATATAAAGTGTGTATATATATACATCACTATACATATTATTAGCGATACTTTTCGACAATCCAGGGATCATCTGCGTTTTTTGGACCGGGAGTGTTGGGATGTCATCCACCTGTGGGGCGGGATCTATGCACCCAGGATGACCTTTGTTGGGAAGTTCTAGCGAAATGTTGGTTACATTTACTGGGCTAGACTACTGTACATTTTTTCCGATGTTGTTTCCTTTTTCAAATACAGATATTATTACATATATATATATATATTTACATACCTTGCATATACACCATGTTTGATAGAAGTTGCAAATCCTGAATTTATATCAACTATTGTTTAACAGTTCGGAAAAAAATAAAAAACAACTGACATGGAGTCATAGAGTCTCATATAGAGTCATACCAATGGATGGTACTATCATTGGATGGTTTCGAAATCCTGAGGCGTGGACCTAGCCTTGCTCCTGGCGCACACCGCTCGGCTCAACTGCAAGGTGGATTCGTGTTTTCGCTTTGTTGATCTGCGTGGGGAAACGAGGAAAAAACACATAAGGCATAAGATAGGGAACTAAGTATGAAATACAGTAGAGATTTATGACATGAATAATCTGAATAATCATGAATAGTGGCTATCCAGTTGTTAGGAGGAAGCGATTTGGAGCATGGGGCATGGGGTATCGATATTCCCGTCGTGAACACTGAGAATGGGGAGCCAGGTGGGGCATCAGAGCTTCCCAAGCGCATGATAGACAAGTTATGTTGATGTTGGTGGATATAATGGATATTTTTTAAAGAACATATCTGATGTTTGGGTGTCGATGGATGAAAATGGTGTATACCCCCAAATGGCAACTTGCACAAGGAAAAGGATTATATAAACCATTTAATGTTGGGAATACTATGTTTTTACGCAAACCCACGGATTGTGAGTTCAATCTCCAATGATTGTTGATGAAATCTATAATTATTTCTGAAGTGCCAAGTGTTTCTAAATCAATTGTTCAGGCTTGTTCCAACCCATTACAGAAAACTCATTGACACTCTTTTGGGAGGAAATTTATAATTCTACTTGGTTATTTATCTGTTTTGTAACTGTGGTGTTGAAACATGTGGTGGGCATGGTTTGTACATGTTTGTAGCAGTTTGTCTAGCACCTATTCACGGTATTGTTTTTGAACCAACAATATGACCATTGGATTTTTGTCCAACCAAAACGGGGTTATTATGGGATATAAATGGATACAATACCATCATCATGGGTTGTAATCTATAGGATGTATATAATGGGATATAATGGGACACACACCACAATACTATGAGTTGCGCTTGTTTCTTCTTGTCTCAAAAATAAGGGATACCTCAAAATCTCAACACGATAAAATGACCATATTTGATGAGGACGTGATGACAAAGAATTGATCATTAGAGTTTGGGGTTTGTAACCCAAGTCCCCCCATTTTTGTAGAGACCTATACAGTATCTCTCTGGGCTGTTCCAGCTGGGATATATCATGATATATATCATGATATATCATGATGAATTGATTAAACCCATTTCAATGTATGGATATATCCAAATTAATGAGATAATTCATGTTTTTGAAGATTTACTTTGTCTATGATAATATCATTGCCAATTTTCAATCACAATTCTTGTTGCTTCAATACGAAAACATACGAAGTAGCTATGATTCTTGGTGACCCCAGCCCTGTCTGTTAGTGAAATCCGCATTTTGATGGTTCCACCTGCCGGTCCAAGCCTCCGAATGTTCGGAACGCGGAAAAAACCTCCGAATGTTTGGATCCAGAAACTCTTCGCTGTTGTCGCAAACTCTTTGGGTTGGTCTGACAACGGGTAGGGCGGTAGGGAAAATGATGAAAGTCACCAGTGGAATTTGGGGTTTTCCCGCGTTTTTTTCAGTGAAAGCCATACCAAAAAGGTACTGTGAAAAAGTAAAGCAACAATTTGTACCACCCATATGTTGATGATTTATACATGTTTATAATGGTTGATACATTAGTTTGTTGACCACCATTAACCATTAGCTAACATGGTTGATTTGATTAGATATGAAATTTATAGATGTTTATAATTGTTTATAGCACCCATGGAAAATCCATGGGGATGGATCCTATAGGTGGACAACTTGTTGCAGCTGTCTGGACAAGAAGCTGAGGCGTGGACCATTGGGGCAAAGCTGATGGATCAGATGTGTTGACCACTGGTGAGTTAACTGTTGTGAAAAATGTCAATGCGGAGGTAACCAATAAGATTTATATATATAGTTTTCTAGAATTTTGTTGATCTTGGCAATAGGCATGATGATTAGAAATGGTCGATGAACATATGATGTCGTTGTGAACTAAGAAACACTTGGGAGCTACGAAGAAACATGAATTTCACTTAGAATGGTGATTTTCCATAGTTATGTTAGTTTACCAGAGGGTAACCAAGCCAACTATGCAACCATGGAACAGTTGATTTTCAGGGGCAACATCATGGGACATCGATTGGAGAAGAGGGATACAGTCAGGTTCACAAGGACGATGTTTCACGTCCAGGGAATTGCTACGCAGATCTAAAGCAATTGGTGTTGAAGGTTGAGACAAACATTCCAAAAATGATTGGGTTGAATGATTGAATGTCAGAATATGTCAAAGTGGTGATGAACTATGAATGATATGAATGGCATGAGTGGTTTTATTGTTGATGGCAGCTCTAATTCTTGCAACATTATGACTCTCAAAGCATTAACACACTGAACAACCATATAACATGTTTGGGTAGACATGCACTGTTTATGTCGCCTAGTCATAGGATGTCATAGGTATATCGAGGGTCTGGGTGACTAGATCATGCATGCGGTACATGTGTGTATGTGTATATATACATATATATACACATTTGTACATGCATAGATATCATCCTGAAGTAGACATATTTGTTGTTGTTGTTGTTTGTTTGTTTGTTTGTTTGTTTGTTTGTTTGTTTGTTTGGTTGTTGTTGTTGTTGTTGGTGTTGGTGTTGGTGTTGGTGTTGTTGTTGTTGTTGTTGCTGTTGAACACATGTTCGCATTTGAGTGATTGTTGACGTGTCCAGATTATATTCATTCCTTCCATCAACGAAATATTTTATTTGAATAATATTGATTACCATTTAGCAAATTCAATATCCTATAAAGTCTCATATTTTCTATCATTATAGCTGCAGCTTCAAATTTTAAGGTCTGGATCACGATTTAAAACCCACAGGCTACACCGTCGATCTATTCCAGAACGCAGGCGATAGGTATGGATCATTGCGGAACGATCCATGCCCGTTTTTTGAGCCACAGCCCTAGTAGGGAATGGATGTGGGATATCTAATCTACCATTGGAGGAGTATATCCATAAATCAATAGATATGGGATCTTGGATCTACATATCCATGATCTACATATCCCATATGGAGCTAATGTGGTTAAAACATGTTTTTTAACCACCCATATTTTGATGATTTATAGCACCGCTAAAAATGGTGATTTCATGTGATTTGGGGGATTCTTTATGGCATTGTTTTACCCACATTACCCTCTGGTAAACTAACAGAACTGGAAAATCACCATGCTATTAATGGGTAAATCAACTATGTCTATGGGCCATTTTCAATAGTTATGTAACAAATTACCAGAGAGTATACCATCATATATCCCATTCAATCACCATTGAATCACCATTAAATCACCTATAAATGGCCATGTTCAATAGTTATTTGACATAACCAGAGGGTAAACCTCCATTTTCCTATGGTTTTCCTATGGTTTTCCTATGGTTTTCCTATGGTTTTCCTATGGATCCATACGTTAAATCACCATTAATGGTATCTGGATGACTGGATGATCCATAGCCACCAGCTGTCCATGGCAAGGTGGGCTCCGTGGACTGGGGCTACGGCGCCGCGGGACAACGCTTGGAGCAACGCTTCGCGCATACCCTGAGTTTCAGGCGCAACATGCGGAAGTTTCACCAGTTTTCATGGGTTTCACCAACAACTTCAAGGAACATTTTAGGATATTATATACATTATACATATATTATATGTAATTATATATATAATTATATATATATTATAACATTATATAACCAACTATTATTGAATGAACTTGTTCAAAAACCCTGTTGATGATATGGGATCCTACCCTGTAAATCTTGGAGATTAATCCACTGTGGGAATCCCGGATTGAACCAGGCAGCAAAAATGGCCATGATTCGCCTATTGAAAATGGTGAAATGGATATCGAAAACATAGGTACCCTCTGGTAAACTAACAGTTTGCTATGGAAAATGGCCCAGTCGACATAGTGGATTTACCCATCAATAGCATGGTGATTTTCCATAGTTTGTTGTATGTTTACCAGAGGGTACATGGAATCTACTTTCATGGCGACATTGTTAAATCATCAGATGGCACGGGAGTTATCATAGTTGGTTCCCATGAAACATGGTGATTTTTAAGCAAACACATGGAGAACATTGAATTCAACCCTCACAACTGGAGGGTGAACTAATCAACCACTGGATGTTTCCTGAAAATGGTAAAGTTAGTTGGATACTTCTAAGAACGGGGAATCTATACACAGAAATACTCCCGCCAGGGAAACAGATGATAGACCATTTGGGGACACTGGGCACTAGGTGGGCGCCCTATTCTGAGACAAAGCCAGTTACGGTACATATTTACCCGGGATTATTTTAATGGTTGGCTTCTGGGGAGGGTAGAATTTGGCCATTTGGCCATTCATCACGTTTTGGTGACGTTTTGGGTGCCTTCATCAGAGGTTGACATAGCCAGCAGTTGGTCCAGGCAGATGGGCAGCATGGAATTTGATCCCTCAATGCCCGTGGGCAGCATCCACTCCACTGAATCCAGGGAGAAGGCGCTGGGCGTGTTTTCGGATGTGTCAAGGAGAGGACATATGTATAGCTGTTAAGCCTTAACTTGATGGTACATTGTGGTACAATCATGTCTGATGACTGATGTGCCGTCAAAAGTTGGATAAGTTGGATGATTGTTACAGCTTGTTACCCATGGTCATGGCTTCAATCCATTCCTTTTTTTTCTCCATGATCCCCATCCAGGGTGAAAGGAAAACTCCTAAGCCATGCCATTGGGCCATTGCACCTGTGATCTGTGGATCGATATATCTGGGCTGAGGAATGTCATCGGATCCTTGGAATATGGGAGCATAGAATTCTGTTGATGTCAAGCCCTTCGAAGCCCAACAGTTTCAACTTGAGCTTCACATAGTTTCACTGCTTCATAGTTCTCCCAGAAAAAATGAATCACATAACCCAGTTTAACTGTTTGCTTCACATAGTTTCACTGCTTCACACGATATGAAAAATGATCAGTGAAAGCTATGAACATTATCAGCTAGCAGAAATTTACCAGCTAGAAAATCGTTTCAAGTCATTCAATGATCCTATTGCTACCAGAAAAATACCGACAGGTCAGAATCCCAGGCCCAGGATTTCGCCATGACATGGGGATACCAATATATGGTCTTTAGATGGTATTCATTCTATGTCTAATTAATCTATCTATATATATATATACATATGTATATACACATATATATATATATACCTATATATATATATGCATATATATATATAATTATATACATTGGATAATGATATGTGCATATATTTATAGATATAATCATGAACTCTTAAGTTATACAATAATATAGAGATATAGACCTAACCGCGCCTGAGGTGGCCTCTCCTAGAGCCTTTGGATTCATCTCTTGAGCGATGCAGCCATGGTGATTTGTTGGGACGCTTAACATGATATAGTGCCCTAGAAAACTATGGTTATATGATGTTATATGGTTATATGATGGTTATATCATGGGTAAACATGGCTATATCATGGGTTACATGGTTATATGATGATTATATGATGTTACATGATATAGCCCAAAAACACATCTATGGGTAAACATGGCTATATCATCTAACATCTCTAACATCTCAAACCTATTTTTTATGGTTATTAACGACCTCCAAAAAAATCCGATGAGTACTGGAACTGCACCCAGCCATTTGGCCACTTGGCCATGGAACGAAAGCATTTTCAGGACAAGGTCGACTGATTCTCGAACATGTGTGGAGACAATATCAGAGTCATGGTTCTTCAAATTATAGCTATATTCACCTATGTTCGTGTTCTACTTTTTGATGCTAGTTCAAGCGTCCAAGATATGTACAATGCAGCATAAAACATGCCTCGCCATACACAGCGTCTCTGTGCTGTTTTTCGTGGCGAATCTTTCTGGGGGAAGCCCCAGACTGTGCCGAGCAAACACCCTGCACGAGTCCCATGGGCGTTTCTATGCTTCAACGGGCAACAAACATGCCTGATGCCAAGTGCCAATACTGATCCAATACTGTTTGCTGTGATTGACAATTTTTTGTGTGTCAAAAATGTGTCAAACTGTCAAACTGAACATCCCGATGCCGGTGATATAGATTCCCGATCCCACAGACCTTGGCTTCGATCCGTGCGAATTTGTGTTTGCGTCTCGAATTCGTTGTGGCAGAGTTTTCTCCCACCGACTTAAGGAAAACCAAAAACAAAACGCGCAGAATACCATCTGGTAAACTAACATAGCTATGGAAAATCACCATTTTTAATGGGAAAACTCACTATAACTGGCAATTTTCAATAGCTATGTTAAATTACCAGAGGGTAAGGTACTTAGATTCATAGGGAATGATGATCATGTTGATTGAGGCTACTGGGGCCCCCAGTGTACAAAAAAAGGGGGTGGGGTACCTATAAATTAGTCGTATCACTTTTTTGGGGGGAAACCATGGGTAACCCCTCCAATGAAAATAGTCAGGCTTTATCCATCACTGGGCTCAACAGGCAACATATAAATAATCACCAGGCAAAAGTATCAATGGATATACTGGTTGGTGGTTTCAAGCATGTTTATTTCCATAAAATATGGGATAATCCCAACCCCATTGACGAACTCTAATATGTTTCAAAATGGTGAAAACCACCAACCAGTATATATATATATACCTGGATCTTCAAACGCCTAATATATTTTGACCCTTTTGGTTGTTTACCAATTATGGTTGAAACCGCCTAGTTTTTTTGGGATTGTCATCAAAAACTATATACATATGACCGAGCAATCACCAAGGTCCATTTTGCCACGAATCTACCGAGTAGACTGAGACGACCATGTCAAACTTCACGGTTGGTTTTCCACGACTTCGCCACTTCCCTCGCCAAATCGCGTTGTGAAATCCTGAATCAGTGGACATCAGTGGACCCTGATTCCTGAAGGCTCATGGTGAGAGGCTTTTTGGGATGGTTTATTATTGGCTTTCCCACAGTTGCGGCTTATTATGCTTTGATCATGGTTGATAGTGGATGATAATGGTTAATTAATGATAGTACGTAGTTTTATATATATAATGTTATATAATGTTATATAGTTATATAATGTTGTATAATGGTGTATAATGGTGTATAATGTTGATAAGGGTTACACATATGGTTTAATCAATGAAGATCATGGAGATATAATTAATATCTAATGGGGATAGAATTGGAATTATAATGGGGTGTTATAACCGAGACTTTGATTCGGGTATTGCGGGATGAAGCCCATGTGATCAGCGCATTTCGTGTGACCAGCGAATTCCACCGAGCACGGTGTGACGGGTTGTAGCATTGTATAGCAAGGCCGAAGAGTGGAAAGTATGTAGAATGATTGTGAATGGAAATATGATGAAATATGTGTATATAATTATATATAATTGGATAATTACACATAATTTCATGATATCTCTATATGATGCATATGTACTATAAATGTAAATGTTCGGGAACCGAGGCAAGCCGCGGTTGGGCTATTCCACATAGCATTGCTGGTTTCATTTCACTGCGATGTTTCTAGGGAAGCTGTGGCTGCATTTTTGAAGCCGAAACCCTTGCGCCACTGGTGGAGGGTAACCGGTGGCACGACTGATGGAGAGTCAAAGAGGTGAATTATGGTGACCTCACCTGCAGACTTCACTGTACATGCAGAGTAGGGGAGAACACACCCCCCAAAATGGCTTATTTGACGTGTGAATCGTAGTAATCTGCCAAGAAACATGTTGTAAAGCTTGAATACATGGCCCATTCGTACCCAAAATGGAGCCCGAATCGCGAGGTGGTTGGCAACTTCCGTTGTGATGCTAAGCAGAGCTCAGCAGTAGACTGTAGATATCTGAACCATTAATCCAACATTTAGAGCATACATCTATAGTCATAATATAAACGAACATACCTAGGATGATAGATCATGTTCTGGTGAAGATCCCATGAAACCAAACATGTTCCATCATTTTCCAAGGATGTTCTTTTGATTTGATGTATCATTGTGTGGTGAAAATCTGCAACAAAGAACCCTCTCATTTTTCCATGGTTTCTTCCATGTCCAAACCACTGGCATGGTCTCTCAGGCATTGGATATTGTGATGACCGCCATGTTTCCAAACCCATTTTGGTGATCTTTGCATCCCTTTTGACCAGAGATCTCACTCACTTGACTCTCTGTTTCATCCCCAGCATTGTTGAAAACATGCCGGGGAGGTCTTAAACAGACCCAGAAAACATCGACTGGATTTGACTCGATGTTTGCACAAAAATCTTCTATTTTTCAGGGTACTAACCAACCCCTTCCCATTCGAACTTATCGGTTGCATCACGTTGACTCGATGTGAGCTGCCATGAGAAAGCGAGCTGTGTCGATGTGTCCAGAAATTGGTGATATCCCACGGAAAATCCCAACCATAAATCATCATAAATGGAGGTTTTAATGGGAAAATCATCTATTTCTATGGGCCATCTATACCATGGCTATGTTAGTCATAACCAGATGGTAATACTTATGGTGATTCCATAGCTCTGCACAAATTGCATGGTTTCATCAGCGGCGTTTTCAGTATAACGGTTGGTCCAGACATGGCATGAGCTGCGCGCGCCATAACCAAAAAAATCCGTGATCAAACGGACTCGGAAATGGCAGCTTGATTTTTGTTTTGCATCGTTTTGCCATAAATGCAGCGATTTACAATGATTTACATACTTTGCTGCCAAACGCGGACTGACTGTCTAATATTTTTATTGGGGTATCTATACAAGGATAGGCATGATCGGGGAGGTGTTGCTGCCTCTTGAAGAGTTGGCTCCAGTGAAACAGAGGAATTGATTTCTTCGGTCCAGTATAACCGCGCAATTTTGATCCCAAGTCGCATAGTTCCTCACCACTCACAGCAATATCGTCCCGTATCGTCCCGTATCGTCCCATAGTAAGATCACAGATTCTCTACACCAACCCCCAGCCTGCCCCTGATTTTTGGATCTGTTTCAACCCGAACAGTCGCATCCCCCGCAGTTCAGCGTGCGCGGCCCAACCCCGGGTCCCATTACCTGGAGACTTGTTGCCTGGTGCTCCCAGTGCTGATTTGTCTTTTTCCTGTTCCAATGGAGTTGCCGTTCAGCCGCCTGCTGAAGACATGTGCCAAGGATCTCATGGATGACTGCTGGCCGAAATTCGAGGATTTTTTGCTGTGGATCGGTAGTCTAGGTAAATGGACTCCAGAGTTCCTGTTAAGATCATCAATATCAATAATATATTAATATATATATATAATGATATATATAATATATCATTATATATATAATGATATATATATATATACTTATAGTTCCCCAAGATTTTGTTTGGAGGCTTCACCATCAACGATGATTTATTTACAATCGAAGCTGTGGATCTAAGCCGCAATTCACTGGACGTTTCACTGGACGATTTGAATTTTAAACAAGGGGATTAGCCGTCAAAAGCGGGTTTTACGGACTATAACATGTGGATGTGGGTCAAAATGGAAGACCTAGGGGACCACAGATGTGAATGTCTAGTTTAGTACTAACCATCCAATTATTGGGGTACCTAATTTTGACCCATACCCATGTGGGATGAATTCAGAATGATGCTTGGCAACTACAGTTGACTACCTCACTGCTGGACCAAGCTCCACAGCAAGGTATTGATGTTCACCATGGGACCAGACTTTCGACCCATAGCCAGTACACAATATCACATATATATATATATATATACAAATAATGGCTATTAATGTACTAGTATTGATGTACTATTATTAATGTACTATTGGGTAATATATATATATATGTATATATATATATTTTTCCCCCATAGCTATATATAATAATAATACACCAAGCAACAATTTCAATGGGGGAAAATGAGGGAACATGATGATCAATGGGATGAGGCACGCAAGAAATCCCTGCTGAGGACTATCCCCATTTCAGCGGGAAAGTAGCATGAGGAAACATATAATTTTCTTAATCTGCATGGATCCAAGTGCCTTCTTAGCAAGTCTTTGAGGCATGATTTGGGGGGTGGGGTTAAGTACCTTCTCAGGAGGTGTTTGGATCCATAGGGAATGTTTGAATCTCATGCTTGTCGACAACGAATGCCCTTGGTCAACGTCCCCATGTTGTTGATCGAATCCCTGAAGCTCTGGCATATTTCCCCACAAAGGGCAAAGTCATACTTGAAACTGAGCAAACCTGAGCAAACCTGCGGTTCCATGTTTTTGTGTTTAAAGTCCAAATCAATTACCATGTTCTTGGTCATATGACATATGCGACACTATCTCCCATTTGCAAAAAATCCCATTCCCATTGTGTCCAAACATCCGTCCCAGTATTTGGGTGATTTTACCCATTAAGAGCACTCGTGCTGCCAAGGACACGCTTTGGAATGCCATGGGCGATTTCCAACATAATGGTGAAGAGGTGAAAGTCTCTGTGAAGCCTGTCATGGACTTGCACCTGTGTCTTGATCGACTAAGCGGCTTTGGGATTTTTACTGGGGGTGTTTTGATGGAAAAAATGGTGGATCCCCAGTCGGAAAAACCATGGGTTGCAAGACTAAAATTAAGGTCTAATTTAGGGATGATTTGGGGATACTGTCATTTTAGGAAACCTCCAAATCATGATCAATGTATTCACTGATTATGATGCTTTCAAGCCAGCCAATTAAAAGTAAGATGTCACCATGAGTATCTATGGACGTTGCAACACCATGAACGGGAACCAGACCCGGACGTATCCATACACGCAAGAAATGTGTTTCAGACCCACAAAACAGCACAACAATACAACATGTGTTTATTGAATGACGCAATTTCATGCAATTTCAAGGGGTTACATCTGTGTGTCATCGATCTCATGACCAAACTCCACAAACGATCCAGTTGACGGCTTCCATCAGCTGATGGGTCTTGTTTTTTTGAATTGGGTACACCCCAAAATGGCAATTTCAGGTAATTTCCACGATGAAAAGATGTGAACATGATGCTCAACCCCTGGAGTTTTGGGTGTATTATTTTCAGACAAACCCATAGGACCCATAAAGACAAGAAAGATAGAAAGATCCAGACAAAATTGCCACCCGAGTTCCCCGCTAATCTCGCACTTGAAAACGGTGTATCCAGGGAATCTCCAGGGATGTTTTTTTTTTCTATTTTTGATGGGTCTCTTAAGATCCCTTAACCTTAATCTCCTGGGGAATCTCGTTTTTTGCATCTTTTTCGGCTTCATAAACCCTACATTTTTCCACTCATGTTTCCATGATTTGTGAAATTTCTAGCAAATTCAAAGTTTTTTTGCTTCAGCCAATGTTCCATTCATAGTTTTCCTCAGTTTTATACCCCACTTTCATCCCTGGCCAGTGGCCCTGGTGGCCCTGGAGGTTGCGCTTCAAGAGTCAGTCGAACTCCAGCGACGTCTTGGAAGACGGTTTCGATGCCACCAGTTGCGACAGGGTCAGATGGATATGGCCAGTTTGATGGGTGATATGTGGGTATTAACCATGAACTTCATGAACCAATGAAAAATGGAGTTTAAACTATGAAACACTGGTATTTAAGCATGAGAAATTGGTATGTAAGCGTTAAAAATGGTCGATGAAGTACGAAGAATTGGTATTTAACTCATCAAAAAATGGTACCATTGAACATGATTAATGGTCCCATTCATAACACATCAACGACGCGAATTCACAAAAAAAAGATGTTTTTTGCCAAATCACTGTGGAGAGTTGAGACCTTCTGCATGGTAGGGCGACCGATGACAAGAGTGTGCTTCATGGCATCCGAGCTGAGAATTTCAAAACTAGTATCCCATTAAAGATCAATTTGCCCAAGAACATTTTGTAGGTGTCAACATCTTCAGGGTTGAACATTAGACCCTTGAATGTGTTCTTGGTCGTAGGGCCCCATTCTTTGGTGTGTGTGTGTGTGTGTGATGTGTGTGTGTGTGTGACAACCCATTGTTCTCATGTGGATATATGGGCAATGGGTCAAATTGCTAATATCCAGGTGAGTGAAATAGCTCGTAAATTGATGCTGTCATCCACTTGTATGGAGAAATGAATTTATATGTTTTACCCATTCCATGCACATTCTGGATAATTAAATCTCTATTGTTGATGATGAAGTCCAAAATGTCAAACCCATGATCATACCCAAGATGAAATACACCTTGTAAATTGCTCGATGAAACCTAAGAGTTAGCCGATATCCCAAAGATCATCTAACTGACCCCCATCATGTTGTATTTTGTTTCAAGGCAATTTCGTCCCTCTTTATAGAGAATCCATCACTAATCCCATCCACCTAATACAGTGCTAACCCCCATTCTGAAGCGTCCCGTGTGCTGGTGCATCCCTTACACTAAACCATAATTTCTGAAGCGTGTCCAAAATCTGAGGGGAAAGAATTACAGTTGATGTGTGGTTAGTTATGAACCATTACATATCCCCATTCATATCCCATTCGAAAGCGCCATTTTTCGTGGCTAGACCGAACCCATTAAAAGACCATCAATGTCCCTATTCATATCCCATATAGTATTTATATAATTTTATATATTCTATTCACATCCCACAAAGATTCCATTCATATTCCCTTGAATCCCATATTTTTTCCCCATTTGTTTCATGGCTTTCCCCCCATTTCCCCCCAGTTCTCCCCAGTTCTCGTTGAGAATTCAGGTGACCTCTGTCCCCAGACCCGAAGTGATCTACAACGACCAGATCTTGCGGAAGCACGGGCTACGGGATCCCGCCTGCGCGTATCACCTGGAGCAGCTCGGAAGTGACATTTCTCCGAGACTTTCCATGGGGTTTTCCATGGTGTTTTTTCCATTTTTCCCACTTTCCTGATTTTCTGATGAGAATCCAAAGCTTAAGATGTTCTAAGATGTTTCAAGATGTTCCATGTAGTTTTTTTCCACTGTTTTGTTGCGCCAATCAGTTCAATTGTACCGTTTCACTATGTTTCTGAGTTCAATAATTACATGGGTCACCACGTTTCTGGGTCGATTGGCTCACCATGGATGGGTAAATGATAGGATTCGATTCAAAACAATGGATGACAAGCATCCAACACAAGTTGAGATTTTACATACATGGAATAGGGGTTCCGCAATGATGCTTGGATGGTTGGTAAATGTCGATACTTGTGTGTGTTTTTTTTGTCTCAACCTTTTGAACGACAGGTTTGCCTAACCCCTGAGGTCTGTGCAACCTTTTGTTTACATCTTTGGAATGGTGGGTGTAAAACCCTGGTTTTGATATGTTTTGATGACGTAACGTGTCAAAGTCACCTTAATAATAGGTCATAACTTGAGAATCTGAATTGAGCAGGCCCATGATTTTGTTGCATTGTATATATAATTATATATATATATATATATGCATATATTGTTTTACACTACCCCAAAAGGACGGTAAAACTATAGTCATCCCACTAGATTTAGAACCTTTAACTTTTACGTGTTCAAATTGGCATGTTTTAAACATATACCACCTGGTTATTTAACATAGCCATGGAAGCCATCACCATTTTTAAGTTCGGTAAACCATCTATCAATGGGCCATCTATACCATGGCTATGTTAGTCACAACCAGAGGGTATATCCCATTAAACCACCATTCTTCATAGTTAAATATAGTTAAATCCCATTAAAATCAGAAAATCCCAGCATTTTTGAAGATTTAGGTGTACCCCCATTTATGGAAACCTCATGAAACCTCCATTTTTCATGAGGTTTCCATGGCAACACAACTGTCAGTTATAGTGTCAGGCAGCTCTTGGCGCCGGGGGATGTCATCATTCAGCGCAGCTACCGGCAAGCCTTTCGTGGCCCGGAGCGTTGGTTTGTTTTCACTCACTAAAGAATACCATAGAAATATGTATATATATATAGATCATATAAAGTTTTTTTTGTTCAACTTAGTCTTTGTTGTTTGACACTATTTGTTTTTCTTTAAGTTAGGGATTTGGTTAGCCCCCTCCAACTTAGTAAGTGTTGTTTGGAAGAGAGGTGACACCTGGTTACGAATGGGATAAGCCCATGAGAAATCACGGTTATGAACCACTTGTGAAAATAAATTGCGATGATCCTCCAGGTACTAAGACTCCATTGATTCCGTTTTAAGTCGAGCGTGGTTCATGTTGTTCAGAACTCGACGTCAATCCAAACTACTGGATCCTTAAATTGAGTAAATCCCAACATTTCTTCAATCTAAGGTGGCATTTTCAATTTGAAGAAACAATGGCTTCATGCCGATGGTTGAAGAAACCACCATTTGGTAACATTTGGTAACCATCAACTTATTGACATCCAGCTTAGCCTTGTTGTTTGATGTTGTGCGAGAGAAACAATAAACTTACCCTCCAGTGTCAACCATGACTGGCTGAGAAATCTCCGAACTACATTGGTCAAAAAAGAGTGACATTTTCTAGCAAGTCATGTGGATGATTGCCGGAGGGAAATTGCCCAATACATCCCGACAGATGACTGCTATGCCATGCCGCTATGCTCAAGATATAATCTCTGCTCCCTAATACTAAAAAACCCCCCAAATGGTAAACACGATGATCCATGTTTTTTTATTAAGGGGTATTTTGCATTAGGGTGCCCCTAATATTCCAATGAAAACCCTAATGATAAAAACAAAAAAACTCGATTTCAGATTTGATTAAATCCCTTATTAAAAACTATTGCCAAAACTTGGATTTCGAAGCTTTCCCCTAATATTCCAATGAAAACCTAAAATAATCAAAATAATAAACTTGTGAGATGAAACCCCAATAATTAAAAAAACCTCCAGGTAACATTCTATTTTTTATGAATAGGGGGTTGAACCCATTATTTCACCATCCTGTTTTCCTATTGATTTTCAATTAACACAATAAAGAACGCAATTGTAACCCACCAAAAAAAAGAAATTGCCAATCCATTCCTATTTTTTTTAATTGGGGGAGTTTTAGTAATAGAGAGAAGAGATTTGGTCAATGTAAGATAAGAAATAGTGATTTCAGTACGTATATACTGTATATGATATTACTACTGTTGATAGTCTTTTCTAGTTGTGCCATGGTATATATCTACAGATTTCTACGTGCGATCCAAGATGTAGGTTTTGAGGTGCTCAGCCAACAGTAGTCCATCTCCAATTGGGTTGATGCATTGGATATACCCATATTTCTGGCTAAATTGTAATGACCTCACTGTTCTCCCTCACTAGAATCATGGTTTATCTTGTGAATCATCCCCGAATTTCCTGAAATATCAGTATATCAGGTTGGTAGCTGAATTAAGCCCATTCTTTTTGAGCTCATGGGATACTTTATGGCACTGGGTTTACCACATGCATGAATCCTTTGTAGATCATTGATGTTCTTTTTACAGGTATCCTAATGAGTTCTTCTATCCCACAATAGATGTAGGTTGCAGATCTTGGCTTTTTGATACTGTGGATGGAAGAAATCCTTCATCACCTTGGATGGTTGAAACCCTATAAATAATGGGATTAACCAACTGGGTACTTTGGAGGCCCCTTTTTCAGTTAGGTGACTTAGTTGGCACTTAGCTTTAACTTAGCTCAGGTTCTTGTTGTGGGGTGGCTAAGTGGAAGCTAAGTGGAAGCTAAGTGGAAGCTAAGTGGAAGCTAAGTGGAAGCTAAGTGGAAGCTAAGTGGAAGCTAGTTTTTTTATATGTTGTTTTTTGTTTTGTATGTGTGCATGTTTTTCTTTTTTTAGTGATTTTGTTTGGTAGTGTGTGGACGATGCCGCTGCGTTTTTTCTTTGAGGCTGCTTTTTTGAGTGGGCAGGTGAAAAAGATGCTTTGCACCATGCACAAGTAAACGGCAAAGGGCGCACATGCATGGCACATTCACGGATGTTTCTTGGCTTGTAGCCAAGCCATCCGTGCGAATTTTGGACAGAAGACACGAAACAAAACTTATGGATTCGAAAGAAAATGCCTAGGGTAAACTTGAGAAAACCACTAGACGTGCATCTATCCGCACTCATTCCGCACTCATTCTCACTAGGATAGTCGTCCTACCTCGCACTCATCGCACTCATTACAGACCTTCAACTTTCCTTTCCATCATCCGTTATCAACTCGCACTCAAAATAGTTATTTGCTTAGAGTTATGCAGTTCCGCACTCAAAAACGAACGCAGCCTTCCTTTTTGTCACTGGATGTCCGCACTCATCCGCATTCAATCCGCACTCATTCCCGTTCCATGGTTTCACTTAGGTCATGAGACGCCATAATTGTGTCACTTAGACCCTTGCAGCCTATATATGTTATCCATCACTGCGCCACTGCTGCATCCACCTGCTTCTGGCAGCTGCTCATTTCAAACCCAAAAATTGTCCTTTGACAGACCCACCCTACATTTCACAGATCCACCACGTACTTGCCAAAATCTGCACATCACGACTTGCCAAATCCTTGAGAAAAAACATCGGCAAATTCTCATCTGTTAAAACAAACAATGATTTTTTAAAAAACCTAAGTCCGACCTAAGTGATTGCTAAGTTTCCATCATCATGAAATACTTTCACGTAGCTTCCACTTAAAAGTGACCTAACCTCCCTCATGTCAATGCTAACCTATAATATAGCCAGAGGTTGCACAACATAGCAGCTACTTGATATATATATATATATATATGATCTCAAAATTTAGTCGTGGAATTGACAAGTTTCATTAGGGTCATCATCATCATCATCATCATCATCACCACATCATCATCATCATCATCATCATCATCATCATCATCATCATCATCATCATCATCATCATCATCATCCTCATCGTCATCGTCATCATCATCATCATCATTATCATCATCATCATCATCATCATCATCATCATCATCATCATCATCATCACATCATCATCATCATCATCATCATCATCATCATCGTCAGCATTAGTATGAACATGAACACGGTGTTTGAGGATCTTCCGAGAAACATGTGAGACCAGTTTTGTTTTTCTGTCTCTTCACAGCAGCTGCAAGTCTCGCACAGCTTTGAGGACCTCTCCCTGCGTCTTCACTAGTGGTGTGCAAACATCCCACCCCACCCCCCCCCCCCGCGGTGCGTAGCATCAACTGCTTCTGCAATTTCACATGAACATCCCACCCCACCCCCCCCACCCCGCGTGTGTGTAGCATCAACTACTTCTGCAAGTTCACATGAACGTTACTGTAACATCCCACCCCACCCCCCCATCGTATGTGGTTCCAGGAGCAGGGACGAGCCTATATATACATATATAGTTACCAAGGTTATAAGTCCGCTTAGCTGCAAGTTATAAGGCACCTAGGTCTAGGGAGCCCAGGGAGCTTCCAAAGGATCCATCCCGGCATCCCATTCCCATCCCTTCACCGCAGGTCAGAGATGGGGCAAGACCGTCTCCAAGGCCGCCGTGCTCACTGGGACTGCGCAACCCTTAGAGACGAAGTCAATGGAAGTGGTGTCCAGAACACGTTCCGCGACAGAGCAATACCCGGAATGGGAAAAAACATGGGGATACAATGGGAAAACATAGGAAGAACAGGAAATCATGGGGATCTCATTGGGGATATACTCAATGCGATCTATCCTGTGGTGATTTCGCAGTTTGCTATGACAGGCACTCAATTTGATAGGTGGGCCATTGAACTAAATGGGCCATGGCTTCCACAGCTATGTTAAATTACCAGAGGGGACCATCCGAAGTTTCTTTTAATGATTTCGCCATCAAACATGGCTGGAAATAGGGATTTGAGATTCGTACGAGCTGCCCGTCGGATGTATCAAAAACAGAGATGGTAATTAATTGAACAGTGCAATCATCGAAAGTTGGTGTTTAATACTTGATAGCCCATATATATATATATTGTTTCCAAACATAGAGAATCATAGAGATTTACCCCTTATATAAATGGCTATCGAATGATGTTTAAACATGTTTAAACAATGTTAAAAGATGTTGGGATTTCGTTCTTTTTTTTAGCTTCAGAGAAAGTCAAAGAGCACATCCCATGGTCCGAAAAAAAAACGACATGGTCATTCTGTGTTGAACACCTCAAGATTCTTGAATACTTGGAAGTGCAGTTTTAAGGTTTTAAGTTGATGCACAACTATAGTTTTTTCGGGGCCCCATATCCCAACTTTCCCAACTTATGGGCTAGTTTTCACTATAGCACCCATAAAAGTAACCTCAACTGCGCCCCATGTATTCCACAATATTCTGATTTTTGTTGGAGCATTTCCCCAGAGTTTGTCACTGAAGCCCAATTGATGTAGGTTCATCGAGAGATTCCGCAAATCGCATCCATCAATCCACCGATCGAATCAGCAATACACTCAGGTACCGGGCGTTGGTAAGGCTTGTATGATCTTATATCATGTCACATTTTTTAATATATGCCTATTATAATCTATTATATAATTAATATATAGTATTATATAGTAGTACCCACATAATATATACCCACTATATCACCATGTTTCCATATGTTTCCTCGTTCAATCACTCAGGTTTGCTGACTTGGCGCGACTATCCCAGCAGCGGTCAGAGCACCTTCGCCGGGGTCCCTTTCGATCCCCTGACGGAGTCCTTCGTGACGCAAGTTGGCTCTGAGATGGCCTGGCTGGTGGCGTCTGGGCGCGGAAACGGAGAGGGATCGAAGAATCTCCCCAATTTTTGATGGTTTATATTGGTTATACCAAGCATAATGGTGATTTGGGGAATTGTTTATGATTGTTTTAACCACATTAATATACATGAATAGATTGGAATAGATGTATATAATCATGGATTATTATGTGTCTTTATCTATTTATATACACATAAATGTGCACCAAGGGAAGTTCAGAGTCAACGCCTTGCCCAGTACAGATAATATGTTTAAACCATTGCCGCAACTTGAATCAAATGATTTGGAACCCAACTTTTTTTAGTTAAATATGGTTTAGTCTGATTGATTAGTTACTTGTCCTAATCGTTGCATCATACATCAATTGATTTGATTGAACCATGAACTAGTTCCGTCATTGAACCATTAATGAGAAGGTTTCTAATCCAATCAATACATAATACTTCTATGATTGTCCAGCCATTGTATTGATATTCCATATTATATATATATATATCCCATATGCTCCTTGTATGCAATATTTACAACCGTTTACCCCATAAATGGCTTAAATGTAGGTAAATATACTATACATGGAGTCATGGAGCATATATATATATATAATGTATATATATATATATATCATATATATATATGTGTATCATCTATATATATATATATCGTATATATATATATATATGTCGTATATATATATATCATATATGTATGTGTCATATATATATACATACATACATACATACATACATACATACATACATACATACATACATACATACATACATACATACATACATACATACATACATACATACATACATACATCATATATATATATATGTATTATATATATATATATATATCACACACACATATATATATATACATATCATATGGCCATGATTAAATGATGTTCGGCATGACCTTTTCGAACGCCTCAATGTTTTGTGAGGTCATGTCGCCCGGCAGCCCTGGATTGATCAATGTGAACGTGGGGCTCTTTGTCAGTGCCTGCAGCGATGCCTGATTTTTTTTTTTAAATAGAAAAATGATGGTTACCCTCTGGTTTTGTCAAAATAACTATTGAAAATGGCCATAGACATAGTGAGTCTTCCCATTGAACATGGTGATTTTCCATAGTTATGTTAGTTTACCAGAGGGTAACCAATGGATCTAGGGGTACACTACTTTCAGGCAACACCTGTTTTTTTTCTGTAAATCAGAGTGTGGACCAGTTTATTTGATTTTTATTTTGGCTAATTCAGACAATTGTATTGAATTAGTAAGCTCAAGCAGGTTTTGTTTTGGCAAAATCGGTGATTGGCATGCCTCGGACTGATGATGCATAGATGTCAAGAATTAATTGGGGGCCCTTCAAGTTGCAGTATCCTGGGCTGGGAAAACAGATGGTTTTGTCTGCAAATAGGGTGTACCATGGTGTACCCTATTCCATCCACAGGTCATCATTGTCATCATACACAAAACATCATTGTCATCATACACAAAAACCATGAACATATCTGAACATAACATGTTTTGGGTACACACTTTTCCAAAATTCTCAGCGAATCCCCATGGATTTTTTGAAAAATCCATGGGTTGGGTTCTGGGGCGAATCCCAGGTGCATCGTTTCCTTCCTGGGCCGCATCATTGATGACAAAGATGGTTCATGCCATGCACGAACTCTTTCAGGACTCGGAATCCTCGGAATCCAGGGATTGGATCCTTCTGAAATTCCTGGCGAAAAAGCGACAAAAAAATCAACAAAAATTGGTGTCACACTAGATTTTGTCAGTAAAGATTTCAAGTATGTACTTATTATGATCTTACTATGTAAAAAATAAAATAACAAAAATGGGGGGTTCACCATGATGGCTGAAAAATCATCATGTGATAATTTCCAGGACACCCAGCTGTGTGTTGCACTCAGGCCCGGATGAAGGAGATGAAATCCATCGGATGTTCAGAAGCGTCATTCGATGGTCGGCGTGGGTTTTGATCCGGATCCTGGTGGATCCTGGGGTTGGGCCCATTTAACCAGTGGAAGACAGATTAGACACTGTAGAAAATATCCAATCCATAATGAAACATAATGAGACAATCATTTTCTGCAGATTTTGTTGACGGTGAACAAAAAAAATAACGCGGATTTTCCTGGGATGAATAGGAATCCAATGATTTAAAGCTCTGATTTCTCTGGGGGTTTCATAGTGGCTTGATTTTCCAGTTCATTTCCTTGTAGTGAACATGTCCCATTAAAACAGATGAGTAGAAAGATTAATGAAAAATTCGCATCATGGACCAGATGAGTACCTGAGTACCATTTCCTTGACCATCAACAAAAATCCATCCCAGCTCGGTGCCAAGGCTTCTGAAGGAGGACCGTTCCCTCTACATCATCCTGTCTCTCCGGACCTGCCCGCATGGCCGCCCGCTGCTGCCGTTGCTCCGGTCCTCCTCCGGAACTTCGCCGGAGGGCGTCACTGTGACCTTCAAGGGCCGAGGGCGAGATGTGACAGGGAGAGCATGGGAACATGCTGGAAAATGCTGGAAAATGATGATAAACTACGGGTGTGGTCAGGGATTTGAGGGAGAATGGGTTTTTTAGACGAGGTCATATGGGCAGACGTGCCTACTTTTTTAAAGATTCGTGATTTTGTTCGTGATGATTGATAGTTTTTGGCGGAGGGGATGGTCGATGGATGTCGATGGGGAGATGTTTATTTCTACTTCACCAGTTATGTTTCTTTGCACTGTCAAACATAGAGATTGTCTCTAAAAACATTAGGCAATGCACTGAAATTTATCAGGCGTTGAGGTGGAAGTGTTTGAAACATGGAAGCTGAAGCTGAAGCAATTACAGGGGGTTGGACAATTGTAAGGATCTAGTCTGATTGGTGGTTTGGAACAGTTTTTATTTTTCCATATATTGGGAATAATCATCCCAACTGATTAATATTTTTCAGAGGGTTGAAACTACCAACCAGTAATTGTCAATTCAAATGCGAACTCTGGGTCAAACTGGGATGTGATGGGCACTTTAATAGTTGAATCTTCTGCTATCATTTGTTTATTCCCCAAGCAGCCAATCATTTTTTTCAGATGGTGTCTGAGATTGGCAATGAAATTGCCAATCGACAACAGACATATTTTTCATGTGGTGTTTCAAAACCACATATATAAAATATTATAAAACCATTGGCAGGATTGGATTAAAATCCAATAACATTAAAAATCCTATTAAAAGATTGAAATGAAACACCACATTTTTGGATTGTTAAAAGATGTTAAAATCCAATGAAAAAAATGCATTTAACATCTTTTCGTCCAGCTTGCACCAAGGTCGTCAGTGTCACTGGAGTTGGTGCCGCGCAAAATCTCACGACCTGGTTTCGACCAACTGGGACGTTGCTGGGTGATGAGTCGTTCGAGTGGTTTACCACCATGTATACCTATATATATATATACGTATTTACATATGAATAAATAAACAAACAAATACGGGGCAATGTCATAATCCATGAACGGGGTGTATCCTGCTCTCAATTAACCAGATTAATGAAACGGTGATAAGACATGATAACAAAAGGTAACCAACAATTATAAATACCCGGATCCTCTTCTTGTTGGTTGTTTGATACTGTAAAGAGATAAATGGATGAAAATGGCACACCAAAGCTACTCCCGTTTCTGTCAAAAGGACATCATCGATGTGGGGGTTTCTAAAACAAAACCTTAAAAAAAGCTTGCATTCTCTAATCAAAATCTAAATACTTTCAAAAGAGTAGCCAAAAAACAGTGTCCTTTCCAATATGACCACTTTTTGGTATTGTTTGGGTCTGCAATCCCAGTCAATCTAAAGATGTTTGACTACATGCTAGATTATGTTTGACAACCATTTTTACTATTCTTTTGATGCGTTGCGGCCCATAGTTGAACCTTGAATTGTCATGCCTGTGACATTCCTCTGCCGAAACAAAATCAGCCAATGGAGTTAGGAACCCAGGTTGGAAATCTGCTGTTATCTAACCTATGAGTTCCGTTCATGGCCAACGTCTTTGGTTCGATCAGAATGCAGAAGAACACAGCAGAATCTTCATTTCAAGATCTCATACAGTTATGCCATGTTATGCCACATTTGCAAGCGGATGTTGGCGCGGAGCCTTCTGTGGAACGAAAACGATGGATTTGTGGATTTTGTTTGGGCAACAGATCTTGACATTCATAGCTAGGATGATGATCATTGACACGTCTTGTTTCAGGCAGCTTGAAGCCATAAGTATGATAGGGTAGCCGAAATCCATTGGTTCACCATAATTTTCCTTAAAGATCAATTTGGGCGGTTTTTCCACCATTTCCAGACACCGCTATAGCAGCTATGTGACCATTAATACCATTAACAAACCATGACCTCATGGACCTAAAACACCGAACAGATGGCTGTGATGAACTCAGGTTCAGTTTGCCAAGCTATTTAAGCGACTTGCTGGCAATCCTGGGATGCGACGATGTACAGGTGCAAGCTGCTGCAGCTGAGCAAGCGGTCACTGAGGTGATTTATACCAGTTGAATCGGATGAGCATAACCAGGTCCTTTGACATACTGAAATTGGATGATATATGGCAGTGATATATATATAATATTTACAAAGCAACAGCAGCTGGTGGATTTTGAGTGCCATCTTCATCTGCTTCACCTGGTTCATCTCACGCCTTCCGAACGGCGTTCCGAACGGCGTTCCGAAGGGCGTCCCCGAACGGCCAGGTCTTTGATAGTCTGGAGGGTCGGCAACTGGTGCCATATCAGGCAGTCTTGCGCAGAGAGCAATGGGCGCCACGGCGGCCATGGGGATGGGGTCAAGGGGCCTAGGTTTTACTTAGTGCAGCCTTGAGAATCCAGCAAGAGTCCAAGAGTCAAGGCGCAACACTGGCTTCACTTTTCCAATTTTCTAAGCAACTTTTCCAAGCATATGTAGAAAGGGCCGGGCCCACCTCAGCTCAATATCTTCATGTCCAACGCAAAAACCAACGCTAGGGTCGCTCAGCGCCAAGTTCGGTGGAATCAGTGGCGCAACCCCATTTTGCACATGTTGGTCTACCAAGCTAGGGCAAGGGTGTGGTGCATGGATATGGACAGATCATGATACATATATAGTTAATATATATATAGTTGGATGGGCTTTCAAAGCAACTTCAAGCGAATTGTAGGAAGAAATGAGTTCCTTTACCACTCACCGTTGCTGCACCGAGGAGCGAATTGGATCCCTCTTTAACGATGTGTGGTTGACCCATCGTGCGGCCTACAAGAAGCTCAACAGTTCCTCGGTGGATCAAAATACCGCCAATCAGGGATGCCTCAAAACTCCGTATACTGGTGCTTAATTAGTAGGGAATGGGGGAATGAGACCTAATAACATATATAATAACTATTCACCCTATATATTAACCATATATTAACCATATATTAACCATATATTAACCATATATTAACCATATATTAACCATATATATATATAATATATATATATATATATTAACCATCATCCCATTCCCCCATTCCTTACGTTTAGCACCAGACTCAGGTTGTAAACATGCTCCCACCATCGTGGACGGGCGACAACCCCGAGAAGCCGACAAGCCGTTCCTCCCGGCGGGCGGCGCTGCACCGGAGCCGGTGTCACCGTCCTACAGCATAGCAGTGCGTAACACCTTTATCGAGACTGGGCATGGGAAGTTGTGGAAATCCAGCAAAAAATCCGGCGATATACTGTGGATGGTTGCGAAATCCTGCACCTGTTGATAGGTGGTAAACATCCCATTAATATCCCATTATTTATAGGGTTTCAACCATCCTTTTGGTGGTTTATCGGATTTCTTAACCATCCACAGTATAAATGACCAATTTGTAGGATCCGATGGCGAAACTTTGGAATGGGGCCCTGTAAGATGCCGCGATGCGCCCCATGCATCCCATGGACGTGTCAGTTCGGCGCGTAACATGCTGCGCTTCAATTGAAATCTCTTGAGGCTTTGCCAAGATGATAAAAGATGATGCTGATTTTGCTGATTTTTTTGCCGCTAATGCTAATGATATAATCATTGTTGGTATACAGTATTTAATTGACATTCCAGCTAATTTTGACAAATCATTGATATAATTTTGGGTGAAGCCATGGATCCAGTTGCAGGACCCAAAACTCGACTCCATCAGCGAACACCTCAGGCACCATAACCATTGATATCATATAGTGATCCTTACTAATTTAATTTACACATGGTATATCAATATCATGGTATATCATATGATAGGTATACTTAATGTATCCTGAAAAAATCACATGATACTTGTGTTTCACACCAACCTGCTGTTACTTTCCAAGTGTTGCTCCACTTGGAGGGCCCTTAAATTTGCGACACAAAAAACCCTCACAAAATAGGCACAGAACAGCATGGATGGTATGGCCAAAGGTGAAGGTGGTTCCCATCCATGCCCGAAAATCCATTTTAGCGTAGAGGTCAGGTTTGTCCAAATATATGATGTAGCCTCTGGTAATTTATAGTGGATTTTCCCATTAAAAATGGTGATTTTCCATAGTTATGTTGAATTACCAGAGGGTAGCTTTAACATACTCAACTGTGATTGGAATAGAATTGAATAGGGTGCCGTACGTTGATACCCATGCCACTTGACGTTTAGACACTTCCACTTGCCATCCATCAAACTTCAACGTACAAAACATGGTGCCCGTTTAAAATCGTTTTACATCTCTTCTTTTCAGAATATCAAATCATATATACAACCGCCATTTTGGCTACCCTTTGGTTATTTAACATAGCCATGGAAAATGGCCCATAGAAATAGATGGTTTACCTATTAATAGCATGGTGGATCTTTCCATGGCTATGTTAGTCATAACCAGATGGTAATATCCTATTAAATACCATTAGATCCCATTAAACCACCCATAACCACATCAACAGCAAATCGGTGATTTCATGATTTCATCATCGTTTCATCGTTTCATCCTTCGCGGCGTCAGGAAATCGGTGAGGAGATTCCATCCACCGAGAGCCCTTTCTCGAGGGCCTGCAGCCGCTGATGCTGCCGTGATCTGTTTGTGGAACTGGCCCTGCCACGGCTTAGTGTTGGTTTTGAACTAAAATATCCAGGTAGTATAATCAGGTAATCAGGTGTAGGTATAATATATGTTTTTTAGATAGGGAATCAGGTAATTACAAATTACAAATATACAGGATTATACAGGTAATCACGTAATCCCATCAATTGTAGATCTATATATTTATAGGTCTGTAATGCTTTGTAGATGTTGATAGTGGATAGGATCTATGGGACTTCAAGCAAGGCATAGCCGGGCCAGCGCAGGCCACGAACAGCACGCATGGCACGAACGGCTCTTTTTTAACCGTGTTGGAAACTGTTTTTGTTTAAGGAGTTTACCAGTTGACCAGATCATAACATGTAATAAATGTAAGAAAGTTTACCAGTTTAGCATTTTTGTTTAATGAACGAGTAATAACATGCCCATATGCTCCATGTATGGAATATTTACCAACATTTTCCCTAAAAATCACCCAGTTCTGTAGGTAAATATACCAGCACCATGGAGCATATGGGATGTAATTTCTTACCACTTCGCCCTGGCGCCGATCGCAGTGCTTGATTCATAAAATGATGGGGAAATCCATGGAATCTCCGAAAAAAAATCAATGGCTTATCATCAATTCTCGCCGTTGGATATGATATGCCATTGGATATTCAACATTTTAATATATTTTAATGATCCATATAATATCCATATCATATCCAATATATATACAGGATATATATATATACCATATCATATCCATTATTTCACATATCCAACTTATTATCCTCAAATCCAATGGCTTATATGATTTCATATAATGATTTATTGTGTGATTTCATATAAATGTATTTTATATGGGATATCCAACATTTTCAGACACACCCTTTGGATAGAACAAAATCTTGACCTATCACATATCTGGACAATCTATAGAAACAAGCTTTTAAACTCATGGCGGCCTGTGGGTCAAAATTTCAGACCTTGAAAACGCATCGGATCGATGAAAAACCATGCAATTTCGAACCCAGATCCCTTGTCACCGAAATCATCGTAAAAACATCATCCAACGACTGGTATGGAGAGCTCCAGCCGTTGACGTTTCGCGGTGCCACAGCACCGCAGTTTTCAAGGCGCCACCGAACACGGGACGCATGGCAGGTGTCGGAGTGTGCCGAAGGCGCAAAGTGCCCAGACACCTGTTCCTGAAAGCTGCCTCGATCTGTCTTACTCAGGAAAATCCGAAGCAGTCGCGGTGTGAGAAATTGAAATTGTTTCAAATTGGAAGCAGATTGGAACCCCCGGCAAATCAAACTGGATCTGGCTGCTTCTATTCCACTGGTTTGGGGATGCATGACACCCAAGGAAACATATCACCATGTGATTCTTGGTTTCAGCCATTCCCAGGTAAAGGGACAAAATGAAGGGACACCCTCTCTCTACAAATATGAACAATATGATATACTGTAATATGATATGATATGATATATCAAATTATAACCATATACAATACATAAATATTATAATATATAATAATATAATATATAATATATAAAATATTATATATTATAATATAATGTAATATAATATAATGTACTTTAATTGAATTTAATATAATTATATATATATATTTAGTATAGTATAATAAAACTATATATATATATTGTACACAATGATATATTATATTGAAAATTAAATACATATTTAAGAACTGATATATATATATATATTTATATAGACATATACATAATCTTATTATATATAATATATTTTCTCACATATTATATTATATCATATACATCATATTTTATCATACTTTTTTGTTCATGTGTATCATATATATATATATGTTCATATATAATATGATATACTATATTATATATTTTTGCAATAGATAATAGAACATATATGATATATAATGTATAATATATATAGTGTATAGTATATATACATATAATATAAAATAATGTATATATAATATCAAATATATATATATATGTTAATATAATGTTTAATACATAGTAAATAAATCTTAAGATGTAAGATATGATATATTATGTGATATATTTTATCATATATAATATCTAACATACTATACATGTTATGTGTTATATGTAATATCTAATATCTAATATATTATATTTGATATTTGGTATATTATATATGACATATATATAATGTGTCAATCATATTACACATATTATAGTTGCAAAATCCCTGGTATAACCTGTATTATGGTCTTCCAATTCAATCCATTGCTGCTAGCTAAGCAACTCGCAATTTTGTTCCATAAAAGGAGGTGAACCCTCGGCTAATCAAAGATGGCAATGGACAATCCCACCATTTTCTATTAAAATCTAATTGATTTTGATTAGAAGAGGACTTTCCATGATTTTTCAGATCTCAAAAATAAAAACGCGGTGTGCCCCATTTGTTGGTCGGCCAACTCCATAATTGAATGATTGGTCCTGAACATCATCCAGTTGTTGTTGCTTACATGGGAGTAAACTAGCTTATGGTTGGAAAAGCCATATGCAAAAACCAATTCTTTCCCTAGGCATTTTCTCTTCTTTTCATGGTGGATTCTTCAGTCAGCAACCTATGGCGATCCAGGATCTGATGTGGCCATGAAAATTGCTGCCAGAGATTCTCATGGCGATGAATGGCATAAAATGGCCATTAATGGTTAACCTATGGTAGGATTATCATCATTTTTCAGAGGGGTAGGTACTGACTGTATACCACCAACCAGATGATTATTAATAACCATTAATAATAACCATTAATAATTATAACAGGTATTGTTATCAACCATTAATATCATCTATAATTATTATATTAATATATTATTAACCATCATTACCCATTAATAATAACCATTAATATGAACCATTCAACGACATCCATGTGGGAATGATCAAGTATCAAAAAAACATCTAGTCCTGGCACCCTTTATGTCAATTTTTCAGTAGATGTACATGGGAATAGTATATGGCTTTATTCCTATTGAATACCAATTAGGATTTTGATTGAAATCTGAAAATCAAGCCAGAAAAACCCTAAGAGTGGATTTCTTCATCATAATAACTATAATAGTCTAACAAAACCCAATGGCGTAGTGAGTTTTATCCATTCGTCCCAGGTCACTGCCAACGATTGGCTTCAGTACTTGGTGCAGCCGGATCCCCTCAATCGAAAACTGGACACTGGACGTGTTGAAAGTTCCGGCTGACCATTGGCCATTTAACATATGGATCCATAGGAAAACCATAGGAAAACCATAGGAATAGCTATTGAAGCCATGGTGATTCAATGGTGATTTAATGATGATTTAATGGGATATATGATGGTATACTCTCTGGTAGTTTGTTACATAGCTATTGAAGCCATGGTCATAGACATAGTTGATTTACCCATTCAAAATGCTGATTTTCCATAGTTTTTTGTATGTTTACCAGAGGGTATCTCCATATATATCTCCATATATATATATATGTATATATATATATCCCCATATGATATGAAAGTTTAATGATGTTTAATGGAAAAAAAGGGAGATCAGTTTCAATCTTTATCATCACTATTTGATGTTTTCCCCCACTTTTCACAAACTGGGGGTTCTTAATCAAGGTCGACATTGCCAGTTCTAGCCATGCATACCGAACATAGCTGAGGTTACAAACTCATTAGCCTATAAATACCTATAACCTGGGCTACAACCTGCTCTGGCTTTTGAGGAAGCCTATTAGATCCTTGAACTTTGTAACGGTTTGCGTCCAATCTTTAGCAGGCGGTCTTTTGTATTAAGAAATATAAGTATATAAAATATATAAATATACAATACATATGTCTATATAATACATACATTTATATACATAATTATGTATATATATGGTATGCGGGATTTTCACCCTTGTCAGATGAACCATTGCCATATCGGATATGTCAGCTGGCTCAACATCATCGAATCAAAAACCGATAAATTGAACCATCAGCACTTTGTTTTGTTGGGATTTTACCATCAGCAAATGGTGATTGATTGGGAAATCATGAAAATTAGCCTCTGGTAAACATACAAAAAAAACTATGGAAAATCACCTTTTTTAATAGGTTAAATCAACTATAAATGGGGAATTTTCCATGGCTATGTTAAATTACCAGAGGGTATAGATGAATTATAATGACCTCACGTCGTGACGTCACTGGAATGATGGTTAGGATTGGGGAAATCATCAATGGCGGAACATTCAGCTATTTTCAGGCTAGTGAATTGTATAATTCAGCCAGAATTACTATAAAGCAATTCTGAATAATGACTTTTGCATTAATTGGGATTTCAATACCAATACAATACCAAGAGGATTTCAAATACTATTTAAATTGCTATTGCAAAAATATGAACTTATATGACATTGGTGTTTGGTCATGTTTTGGCTTCAACAAACCGCTCTTGGGTGCCTCGGCGGCCTAAAAAAAAACTCTGCGGTTCTTGGCCCATTTTGGGGTCACCATTGTTGGATGGTTTATGGATATTTCGTCTGGATATCATACTATGACTGATATAACCAACCAAAAAATGGGGTTTAGAGAATGATACTTTTTACAAATGGTGTTTTAAGAAAATGGGGTATTTATAACCAACCAAAAAATGGGGTTGTTAAACAAAAACAACGCTTTTGACAACATGTGATCCTCAGCCTTTTTTTTATCCCCTGTGTAGATGATCCTAACACATCGTTTGGAATTAGCCTCTGGTAATTAACAGTTTGCTATTGAAAATTGCCCATAGAAATAGTTGAATTACCTATTAAATCTATTAAGAATGGTGATGTTCCAGTTAGCTTTTTGTATGTTTACCAGAGGGTATGGATATCTTCCCCTTGTTGATTTGTCATTGCAATTTCCTCTTTTCAGCCATCAAAGGCCCATGATTGTTGCTGAATATCTGCATGGTGTTGTTTCCTATTTCCGTTGGTCGTTGGTTGTATCCGCAC